GTCATGTTAATACCTATTGAAATAACATAAATATAATATCTTATCTTGTACAATTTGTTTTCAATAAAAAAGGGATTATCGTCCTTGTCTTGAAAGGGCGCGATGCACTCTCGTTTAAAGCAAATTAAGGGCGATGTAATGCGATTTATTGAATTTGTTAATTAATATACAATGCATCATCTTTATCTATGATATTTGATATCTATTCCATATCTTTAGAATATGGAAACACTACGATTAGATTTGACAGTCCACTATCTTTTGTTTTTTCTTTTTTTTTTTTAAGAGCGTCTATAACAAAGATTTCGGAATAGATGGAATGCATAAATCACATAGTGCGCTGCTCGTTGTATTTCTAACATTGCCAATGCGTTAGAGATGGATAGATATATAAAAACGCATCTGCCTTTCGACTAGTCCGTAGAAGTCAAATTCCATCAAGATATGCCACTTGGTTTTATTGGCCGTATAACCCTACCAAATTGAGATACAACCTGCTTGCACATACTTTCTACATAAACTGTGTCGAATATATAATTTAGTAATGTAAATGAACAAAAATTGTATATGCACATTTTCTATACACTAGCCTGCTATGAATTGAGAAAAATAGCAACTGACGGTGTATCTTTCGTACTCTTTTCACTAATTATATTTGCATAAGAATGAAAGGAGGCGACCATATGATATACAGTTTTTATTTTATCATTCCTTCTATGTTATTCCTATTATCTCTTTTACTGTGTATTGTTGTATGTTTGTATTGTAAATTGTGTGCTGTAAGTAATGCAAATAAATCATCTATCTATCTGTCATTACCTGTGCACATTCTCAAGTCAGAAATGCACCACATAATTGTATCAACATCAACGGCCTGATTGATCATGATTCCCGATTCATAAATACGTCGTCACAAACATTTTTTAACTATTAAAGTATTTTATCTATTTCTTAGTACACTATATAGTATAAAACAAAGTCGATTCTCGTCTGTCTGTCCCTATGTATTGGTTAGATCGTTAAAACTACGCAACGGATTTTGAAGCGGTATTTTTTAATAGATAGTGATTCAAGAGGAAGGTTTATATGTATAATACATGCATAATATTGTAGAGAAACACTGATAATTTTACAGGTTTCTAATGTGATGTAGTAATGTAATGGGGGGCTGGCGACGCTATTTAGTATCAACATTGCATCCGTGCGAAGCCGGGGCGGGTCGCTAGTTTCCAATAAAGTGTTAAAACGCTGTAACAGTTAAAATAGTAATTTTTAGTCTTTATAAAAATGGGAATAAAGTTTCTTGAGTGGCGACCGCGTACGGGCAAAGGCAGTGTAGGACGACCCCCCCACTAGATGGAGTGACGACCTGAAATGCATTGCAGGCAGTCAGTGGACGCAGGTGGCTCAGGACCGTTGTTTATGGCAGTCTATGGGGGAGGCCTATGTCCAACAGTGGACAGATAATGGCTGAAATGATGATGACGATGACGATTAGGACATGTATATAAATCGTGTGTGGACACCCTTACGTGTTATATTAAGTAGTCCTTAGACATTAGAACTTAAACAGTACAAACGACACAATATAAAAAAAAATTACACATAAATTTTATAAAAAAAATAAATAATAATTTAAAAATAAAATAAAATAAAACATTTCCACGCAACAAATCAAAGTGACATTCATATCAAACATTTTATTAATTTTCCCTCAAGTTTTTTATTAGAATTCTCAATAATAAGATTTGTTATACCATAATATATTAGAACTGCATGTTCACAATCTCCGAAACGGGTCGACTGATTTTAATGAATCTTTTTTTTAAATTATGCATTCTAATCGCTCCAATTTAAGAGACAGTACAATGCATGTTTCATGCAGATAAGAAAAAAAAATACTGTTTATCATTTTAAGATGCATAAAAAAAAATACGTAAAAACACAACTGTAGTTTCATAACTACTGTAAGTTATACAGTATGTTATAACTTACAGTGCTTTATATTAAAATTATAATTTTCAGAAATAAGTAGGAAATCAAAATTCACGCATATTTTTGGTGTAGGCTAGATTCGAACTTAATACCACCGCGGTGTATAAGTTACAGTAATATCCACTGGGTACCGACGCTAATCAAAAGAGACTACAGTATGGGGTTCTTCAAAAAGGGTACATTAACACGTTAATCGCCATGTCAGACATATACGTCTGACGCTAAGTTCTACATGAGCCATGTCAGACATATACGTCTGACGCTAAGAAGTTCTACATGAGCCATGTCAGACATATACGTCTGACGCTAAGAAGATCTACATGAGCCATGTCAGACATATACGTCTGACGCTAAGAAGTTCTACATGAGCCATGTCAGACATATACGTCTGACGCTAAGAAGATCTACATGAGCCATGTCAGACATATACGTCTGACGCTAAGAAGATCTACATGAGCCATGTCAGACATATAAGTCTGACGCTAAGAAGATCTACATGAGCCATGTCAGACATATACGTCTGACGCTAAGAAGATCTACATGAGCCATGTCAGACATATACGTCTGACGCTAAGAAGATCTACATGAGCCATGTCAGACATATACGTCTGACGCTAAGAAGATCTACATGAGCCATGTCAGACATATACGTCTGAAATGAAAATCTGAAAAAAATAGTCATCACACATAACATAAAAAATAGTGATTTTCCGGGAATTTTGCCAGAAAAAAAAATTCTGTGATACATTAAGTTTCCTTGATACATTTTTAACTAAATTATATAAAAAAGCTACCATGGCCCACGTGAAAACTTTTCTGATATTATCGTGGCGATTAACGTGTTAAGATACCATCAGGGTCGGCAACGCGCACGTGACACCGCTAGTGTTGCAGGCGTCCATAAGCTACAGTGACCGTTTACAATCCGACGGGCTTTATGCTTGTCTGCCCAATTTGTGGTAAAAAAAAAAAACTATAAAAATAATATCCAATAACATTATCTTAACAATATACTAATATTAACAAATGAAGAAAGAAATTAGGAAACAATAAAAGGTAATTATGTTAAAAATTAAAAAATTTTAGTTCAGTTCAGTTCTCCATCTATGCCATTATTGTACAGGAATGATATTCGAGTCATTGAAGACAAATTTATTTTATTTCTCTAAAAAAAAAAAAATGTTTACCAGGATGCGACTAGGGACAGGTTGGCAAAAACTGTAACAGTGAATTTTTACCATTATTCTGAATTAAAAAACCAGCGGTAATCCATTCCGGAAAGTTACAAATATTTTTTTTTTTTATTTAAAATAATGTCATAATATAAAAAAATATATATTTTATAGTGAGTCACCTATATTTAAAACATATATATACCGACATAGAATGAGCCGTAAGAGGCGACTAAGAGAAGGCGAGGGATGGACAGCAGCGTCTTTCTCGAAACATTATTAAGGCCTAACTGAAGTTGCCAACTCGGCTGCGAAGCATGGCAACTATTGGCAAAACTGCCCTGAGGGAAAAGGCCTCAGCCCAGCAGTGGGACAACACGGATTAATAATTAATATAATAGCATAGAATAGATATTTTTGTGACACCAATATCATTCCGTACAACAATTTATGGACTACTTCCTAAGAGTATAAGTCTAATTAAAAAAAAAAAAAAATAGGCGGGACACCAATCGAGAGACCATTTTGAATTGGGAACACTTATAACTAAAGACATTAAAAAAAAAAATTAAAAAAAGAACTATAAATTAGTTTTAGTCACACATAAAAAAAATACAATTTATCATAAAATTATAATTTGCATGTATCAAATTTTCCGATTTATTTAAAAATGCAGTTTCTCTTTTAAATATAAAACTGAAGTGAGTTTTATTTCGAGTCGTGCGATAGAAATTGCAAAACAATTCAAATTGTAAATTATAAATAATAAATAAAATAATAAATATATTAATCGGATACAAATACTCAATAATGCAATCTGTAAAGTTATTTGAGAAACACGAATTCGACTTAAACGGCAATTACGTGGAATTCGAATAAATTGTTCTTTTAAAGGACCGTTCCATTTTTAAATTATGACAATATCATTTAAAAAAGAAAATACGTGTTTAATTTTTTTTTCTTAATATTTTTCAATACTCTCCTTATTTACGGTTTTGGATACACAAATGTTATTTTAATTTTTTCTGTATTAAATCAAAAACGCCTTTATATTAATTTTACCGCTTTTTTTTTTAAACATAGTTTTTTCGAACGAAAAATATTGATACGGACTGTCTGTCATTTTAAAGATATCTGTACTATTGATGTTTAAATAAAAAAAAAATACGAAGAATAACTATCATAAGTCATACTGTATTGTATTTGTTTATATCGGCTTTACTCGCGTTTCAAATTCGACAACGTCCAACTAATTATTAACTCGACAGGAGCTTATTCATGAGCGCGCTCCACGGCTGTATCACTATTGATATACATATAATCGGCCCTACCACTACTGACCGGGGGAGAAGGGATTGTTAATAATGGGGAGATTAGTCCCCATTGCTATCGATATACCATATCAGGTTGACTTCCACGCGGTTCCCCCTGGAACTATCGTGACTAATTTATCGTTGAATTCGTCACGATGGGCTAACTGACCTGCCTTTTCATCCTCACCTATCATCCCTCAATGGTGCCCCGCCGGTGTATACTGATAGCGTAAGCGGGATTACCATTCCATTATCATACATTAACACTACCACTGACCGCACGCGCACGACGACAAACAGCACGCTGGTCGCGCAGTGCTGTTCGCGATACAGCCATGAACCGCGCTCATGAATAACAGCTGCTATCGAATTCGGAACTAGTCAGGCATCCAATTTTAAAACGTGCGTAAATCCGAAATAAATAATAAAAAAAATTATAAATACTTTTAAATCACTGCAAGTAAACGGACGTTTGAGATATATATATATATATATATATATATATATATATATATATATATATATATATATATATATATATATATATATATACCATATATACATACAATAAATTACGCATATTTACTAGCCTTTTTATTCATAAAAACGTCACACCTCTAAAAACAGGTTTATTTAGCTATTCAACTATTTTGTCACTTTCTTTCACGCTAAATTCTTAGTTTGAAAGAAAGAGACAAAATATTGTAATATTTAAAATAGATTCATACAAGATTTTAGTTTTTATGAATAAGCGGGTACGCGTAAAACAATGCCCAAAAAAGAACTCTAATCATATATGTATAGTCATTAATTTTCCTTGACCACTGTATACAGTATGTACGTAATGCATTTATTAGTCTAACTACTTTATGTATCATATATTCATATATTTATTTACGATATTAATCATTTTGAAAAACAAATAAGCTTATATTATTGCTTTGCCGCAATGCTTTTTGTAGACTGTGAAAAAATAAAACCAGTTAAAAACAGTTTTTTCATCGCATAACCTGTTTATATCTAGTATAATAATTTGTTTAACTGTACCTTAAAGTTATGCTCATATCTCCGATACTTTCAACTTTAAGCGGATTTTTTATATCACCAAATGTACAGGCGCAAAAAGGCAAACAATAAGAAAACACTAATAAAATGATTGTAGCTAATATTAGCCAAGAGAGACTAAATTTAAAAAAAAGTCTGCTTATGTCGTTATTTATTTAAAAAAAATTATATTATTTAATTCAATTTTCCTATCAAACATCATAAATTGAGGTCATACAAAAAACATTGCTACGTATCATTAAAATATCCGTTTTTTTTTTCGGAAACGTTAAAACTAAATTGTAAATAACGTTAAAATAACAGTTATAACTAACTATAACAGATCGTTATGCTATTTTTAGCCATAAAAATAGCAATAGAAAGTTTTAGCTGACGGATGAGACTGTGAACATATCGTCACAGCCGTAGAATACTGACGGATCTTTATATGTAAGCTTTGTCAGATCCGTCGGTATTCTACGACTATGACGATATAGTCTATTGAACATATTTATACCCTAATTAGCATAAATAAAAAAATTAAGCTGCACTGGTCGTAAAAAAATAAAAAATAAAAACTATTTGTTTTGTTAACACACAATTCAGTGTTTCTGTTTTGGTTTAAAGATTAAATATCAATTTAAACGATACATACATACATACATACATACATACATACATATCTGTCACGCCTGTCTACCATTAGGGTAGGCAGAAACAATGGAACTTATTTTAAACGATAATAATAATGTATTATACCTTCATTTCACGTGGGTGTCGTAAGAGGCGACTGGGGGTACTTAATGGTCGAAGGGTAGCCATAACGCTTGCCAAGCGTAGCAACTACTGGCAACCTACTTATGGCGAGCCCTACGTACATGCGGCTAATATGAATGTATCATACAACTCAGCACAGACTCGAAATAATTTCAAAAAGTAGAATAGATTAAACACTAACCGCGTTTATTCATAAAAACCTATTTTATCTATTGAACTGTTTTGTCTCTTTCTTTTACATAAATTTCAAATTGGAAAGAAAGTCTTAAAACAGTGTAACAATTAACAAAACACTGTTTTGTATATTAAAATAGATTTGTACGTTTTAGTTTTTTTATGAATTAGGGCGTTGAAAGAATTTAAATATTTCATGTCACCTCTGTCTACCCCCAATAGGAGGTATAGCGTAAAAATATTAATAAATAGAACATTAAACCTTTAAACCAATACCAAACACTGAGTAAGACGAAACAGTTATGGTCATAATTTCAACTTATATTAATTAAATTAAATTAGCACCTGCCATTGATAAAATGTCGAATATGTTTTTACATTAAAAAAAAAATATTAAAAAAAAAACATAATTATTTAAAAAAAAAAAAAACAAATTTTACAGTTACACACATAAACGTAGCCAGCATAAAAATATGTAGTAACTGACGAAAAGAGTAGCACTTTTTAAAAGAAAAGTTTCAAATTTCAGCTTTGTCTGAACACAGAACTGGCAACACTAAGGCATTGCAATAGCCAATCTATAGCCAAATAAAATTTAATTTAAACCTCAAATCATAGTATATTACTATTTATATAGCTGCTCTTATATGTCGTACTTAAAAAAAAGAATACCGTTTTTTTTTAAAAGGTTATAATAAAACAAACCGAAAACAAAAACTGGCAACACTGAGGCTTACATTTATGTCTGTAACCGTAAATAACTATATATAGTAATTTATAAAACTAATATTGTATATTTTAGTTTAATTTTGTATAAAAAAAGTTTATAGTTCCAATTAGCGCGGGAAAGTAAGGTGTGGTATATGACGCGTATTTGAGAGGGGGTGAGGTCAGACCACAGCGGGCGGCGGGGAGTGTCCATACTGTATTTTAATACTATTACTTTTTTCAACAATAAAAGATTTTTTTTATATTATACAACTTAGAATGGCAAACAAACTGACGGCCCACCTGATGGAAAGTGGTAACCGTCGCCTATAGACATGAACAGTACCGTGGACATAACAGAGTATACTGTTTCGCCCATGATACCCCCCATGCGTTGCCATTCCTGAGGACACAGGTGTTATTCCTCTGTACCCTGTAAATTCACGCCATATCCCACCCGTCAAACCGAAACACAGCCATGCAAACACAACTGATTCACGGTTGAAACACGAATGGGACAGAGGTACCCAAGCAATCGACTTTTGTACAAAGTCTCCCTCCAGACACGATCAACTTAAAGTGAACTTGGTCTTTTATATAAGTTATAAGTTTTAGGCATCCAATGTTATGATGAAAATTTCCACCAGTATGCAGCAAAGAAGGGTTAATCCTTACTTTAATACCTTTTCAATGACCAAGTTTTGAAATCTTCCCAGGAGCACTTTCTACCACTCTAATCTCCGGGAACACTCTCCCAGGCGACATTATAAGCCCTCATTTCCACGAGCGTGATTAGAGAGAAATATAGAACATTCAAATGAAACATGGTTATGATGCCTTTATGCATTATAACCATATGCGACAGATGTCTCTGACTATCCATTCAGATAGTCAGAGCCATCTATAGACTGTAGTCGTTACGGTGAACGTAAATCGACATGTTCACATCGCGTCCATTATGTAAGATATAGATTTTATATCACTCTCTAATCGCGCGATACGAATAAAAAAAAACATAGTCATATTACAAACTTTTAAAATTAGAATACCGAAAACTTTTTTGTCATTACAAACTCATTCATTAGTGTCGTTAAAAAAAAAAAATACAATATCAGTTTTAAATAAAGAACTGTATATAACCGCGAAATAAATTCGTAAACAACACATTAAATAATCACAGTTAAACATAATATAGACCGCTATTTGGACTCGGTATTTACTTGATTTTTAGATTAAAATCAAATGCAATTTAAATAATACTCTTTATAAACAGCTCAGCTGTCTACAGACAAACGTGACGTGAAAAAAAAACTTCTATGTGGCCAATTCGACTTAGTACAATTTTTTTTTTTTTTTTTACGACCTTAGATACGAGTTCTTCAGTCACAAACACGAATAACATTTACAATACACAACCTAGTACAATGTGACATAGAGTTGCCATTTCGTAAAAAAAAATAAATAAAACAATCTTTATATAGCTAATTCCAGACCTAATGTTGGAATTTCGCGGTCTAAAAACCAAGCCTAGTGAAAAATACCAAGCCTGAAGTCACCAATGCGGTGTTTCTTTCTTTGAGGAATCAAAGTTGAAAGGTCCTTCAGAGTTGGACTGTGGTCGCACTTGCTGAAAATCACCCATTACATCATACAAGCTCCGCGAAGTCGGGTAATTTAGCTAGCGAATCGACATAGTTTAATACGTCACTTATCGTCTGTAGACAGCCCATTCTGTCAAATTAAAATTACTCTATACATTTCTGTTTTTAGAATATTCCGACCTAATTTTATTGAATGAACGAATTGAAATATATCATTATTTATTTATAACTCCATAGCGTATATATAATTCGTCATCCATACAGACGTATTTTGGTCATTTGAAAGTTTTCGTTGTTAAGTTATGGGCCCAGTGTTGAGGGTCGAAATGTTGAAATCATATACCTTTTATAAAAGGAGTATCTGATCAGTGAGTTTAAACATTTTTCTCTTTAAACAATTGTATTTTTATAAGGTTTCCAATCTCGATTCGATCATGTCATATGTTGTTTACATATATTTTTAACAACATTCAGTCAGCGTCAATTCTAAAATCGATCGATCAGAAATTTCAAAATTCGAATCGATTCAAATGATCAAATTGTTCGTAATGAAGATTGGAAACCCTACTTGACCCTGTGATTACTACGACCTTACTCATTCTTGATACTCGGAACAATTTTTAAATTAAGAATTGTCCACTGTATATATATGCGTATCGAAAAAAATTTCATTAGTGCGTTTCAGAAATACGTCTGAATGTATGACGAGCCTGTATTTTATATGAACATGATTCTATACCACTTAATCAGGCGGTAGATAGCTGAACAGTTTGTATTTGTCCCTGATGTACGGTCGCACGTCGTCTTTCTGAAATACAAATAAAAAAAAATGGTAAGTTACACACTACACGGGAGGGCTAGATAAATCGCGCGATTTACGCGGGAGGGCAAATTACATCGCGTGATCTACACGGGAGGGCAAGTTACATAGTGCGATCTACACGGAAAGGCAAGTTACATCGCGCAATCTACCCAGACGGGCAAGTTACATCGCGCAATCTACCCAGACGGGCAAGTTACATCGCGCAATCTACCCAGACGGGCAAGTTACATCGCGCAATCTACCCAGACGGGCAAGTTACATCGCGCAATCTACCCAGACGGGCAAGTTACATCGCGTAATCTACCCAGACGGGCAAGTTACATAGTGCGATCTACGCGGGAGGGCAAGTTACATAGCGCGATCTACACAGGAGGGCAAGTTACATCACGCAATCTACCCAAACGGGCATGTTACATCGCGCGATCTACACGGAAGGGCAAGTTACATCGCGCAATCTACTCAGGCGGGCAAGTTACATCGCGTGAATAACTCGGGCGGGCAAGTTAAATCGCGTGATCTGTTCAGGCGAACATATTATATCGCGCGATCTATTCGAGCGGGCAAGATACATCGCGCGATCTGTTCAGTCGAGCAATTTACATTGCGCAGTCTGTTCAGACGGGCAAGTTACGTAACACGAGCTATTCGGGCAGGCAAGTAATATGGCGTCATCTATATGGACGGGCAAGTAACAACGCGTGATCTAAACGACTGTAACTACATCTATGGCTAGTGGCATAAAAATTTTTTTTTCTTTAGTAACAATATACTTACAGTGGCGAGGTGTTCTAGGAACGGCAGCAGCTTGAGTAGCTCGTTATCGCTTCTATCCACGAACCAGCTGTCTATTGGTATACCATTTTCTAGCTGGTATCCAAACGCCTGCAATATAAAAACAACCTCAATATATAAAAAGCCCTTGTCGCGTTGTCTATTAACGCTAATCTCTGAAATCGCTCTACCGATTTAAATGAAATTTTGAAAGATAGCTTTTATTCTGACTAACAAAAATAAATCGGGTAGGTGGCGGTAAGTGACAAAATAATGTTGACCAGGTCAATTAATTTAAAATTAACATAAATTTAAACATTCTATCGAGTATGGGTCATACCTGAGGGCTGTTATCCACAATGACGGTTTTCCTGAGGTCCCGGCCGAGGATGGACAGATCCTTTACGTAGTTACCGTTCACCAGAAGGCAGTGCTCACGGAACAGTCTGCAAATACCACGTAATTATTTACCAGAGGGAGACTTTGTACAAAAAATCTTTTGCTTGGCCATCTTTGTCCCATTCGTATTTTTACCGTGAAGCAGTTGTATTTGCATGACTGTGTTTCGGTTTGTAGGGTGGGATATAGCGTGAATTTACAGGGTACAGAGGAATAACACCTGAATGGCAACGCATGGGGTGTAAAGGTATACTCTGTTATGTCCATGCTACTGCTCGTGTCTATAGGCGACGACTACCACTTTCCATCAGGTGGGCCGTCAGCTTGTTTACCATTCTAAGTTGCATAAAAAAAATATGTTCACATGTGTAATTTAAAGAGGTTTAAAAAATGTTGCCACATACATTTGACGGTCCACCTGATAGAAAGTGACAACCGTCGCCTATAGATAGAGTGTCTCCATACATAAGATATACACTCCGAGAATGGGCTAAAAACTCAGCTGTTGGTTTTTCAAAAAATTTAAGTACATCTTAGATTATATAAATACTTCAAGAGAAGCGGCTCAACTTTTTCATACAATTTTGCGTGATAAATAGTTACGAGTGATTCCTTTACAACTTCTATATTTATTTTGTCTTATAAATTCTACATCTTTCTAATGTGTAAACACTCATTTGGTTTATTAAATAATACGTACAGATACATTTTATGCATAAATATATAGAACACAGATAAACAAAACGAGTCAGCTAATTTGACAATTAGCTGACATAAAGTTGAGCCGTTTTTGAGGCTCAATACCTCTATTTATATAATGTAAAATTTTAATATATTCATTAAAGTTAAATTTTAAATTTGTCCAATGACATTACACGTTTAGATGGCGCCATATCGAGTATATACGACGAGATGGTATTCACCGACCTGTACTTGATCCAGCGGCGCGTAGGGTCCAGCAGGTTGAGCAGGCGGTCGGCGTAGACGCGCTTGCTGGCCGTGAACAGGATCACCTCGTACAGCCGCGAGACGCGCGACAGGAACTCGGCGAAGTGAGGCCGCGTGCGGACAAACACCTGGGGAAATTTATCATTATTATTAGATTGCTTAGCAATAAGACCGCATTTTTTTTTTATACAACTTAGAATGGCAAACAAGCTGACGGCCCACCTGCTGGAAAGTGGTAACCGTCGCCTATACACATGAGCAGTAGCATGGACATAACAGAGTATACTGTTTCACCCATGATACCCCCCATGCGTTGCCATTCCTGAGGACTCAGGTGTTATTCCTCTGTACCCAGTAAATTCACGCCATATCCCACCCTTCAAACCGAAACACAGCCATGCAAACACAGCTGCTTCACGGTTGAAACACGAATGGGACAGAGGTACCCAAGCAATCGACTTTTGTACAAAGTCTCCGCCTTTTGTACTACACTTTATTATAGATAATTGTTCAACAAATCCTGTAATGTTGGTGCAATAAAGTGTTAAATAAATAAATCCCTGTTACTAATGTCAAGAACGGGTCAACTTTTTGACAAATTTAGCTAAGTCAGTTAATTTACAAATTTATGTCGTTATAATAATTTTTTAGTTGATTTTGATACATGAAAATTTATCCTGCTACAATTATTATATTCGATCGCCATCTTGCAACCCTATTGCGGCATATAAAAATCGCGATTAAAAAACAGGGGTTGATCGTGAAACGATGAAAATTTGAATTTGTATGTATTTTTCAATGCTAAATCATAATAAAATAAAAATAAAAAAAAATTGACAAAAAAATAAAAATAAATATTTATTCTTATCTTACCCCTCAATGGGTATGAAAAATAGTTGTTTCCGATTCTCAGACCTATCCAATATGCACACAAATTTTCATAAAAATCGATAAAGCCATTTCGGAGGAGTTTGGTAACAAACACCGCGACATGAGAATTTTATATATTAGATATATATTCTTTAATGCACATGAATATAATAATAAACAGCGATTGGTTTAACAAATGTTTAGCAAGTGAAATCTCATGTTTGAGAGAGATCTCCTCCAGCCAACTCTAATGCAGTAGGAGTGAAATTGATTAGTGGGTTATCTAGAATACCAGTACGCAAGCTGTATCACTACATAGTATGAAACAAAGTCGCTGTCGCTGTCTGTCCGTCCCTATGTATGTTTAAATCTCTAAAACTACGCAACGGATTTTGAAGCGGTTTTTTTTTAAATAGATAGAGTGATTCAAGAGGAAGGTTTATATGTATAATACATGCATAATATTGTAGAGGAACACTGATAATTTCAAAGGTTTCTAATGCAATGTGATGTAAAGTGCACCCGTGCGAAACCGGGGCGGGTCGCTAGTATGAGATAAAAGAAAGAACTCGGCCTAATTACATACTTTTTGCTAACAATATACATAAAATATATATTGATAGCAAAAAGATTTTTTTTTTTATTTTTTATTAAAAAGCTCTAGTGCTTAAAGCATACTTACAGTGTAGCGACAGTTTTGGAAGAGCACTGGGAAGTGGAAGCTGGCATCGGGCAGCTCCTGCAGCGAGCAATGCACCAACGTCTCGTCCAAGTCCAACACCTGAGACGATATACATTGATTATTTATTTATAGGAACACCAACAGCAATATGCATTTATTTACACAATATTATATAATTCATTATGTTTAAATCTAATTTTTATATTTAGTTTAATTGAACTAAATACAGTGAAGGCTCTATATAAGCAACTCATTTTAACCAATTTTATTAAAAAAAAAAAATCTTATTGGAAAAAATTACTTATAGGAGAAAAAGGAGCATAAAAAGTTGTTTAGTTGAGTGGAGTTGTTGAATTGAGTGAAGTTGTTGAGTTGAGTTGTTGAGTTGTGTTGTTGAGCTGAGTGGAATTGTTGAGTTGAATTAAGTTGAGTTGTTGAGTTGAGTTGTTGAATTGTGTTGAGTTGTTGAGTTGAATTGAGTTGAGTGGACTTGTTGAGTTGTAGAGTTGAAAGTGCTACTCACGAGACTGAAGTCGGGGCTGGCGCGTGTCTTGAGCGGCAACGCCGGCCGCCGCGCGCGCAGCACCCCGCCCGCCACCGACTCCAGCGGCGGCAGCTGCCCATACAATGATCACAGTTACAGATAACACATATAAACACCACCAGTAGGTATTCAATACACCTTATCAGGTCGACCTGCACGCGGTTCCCGCTAAAAAGCATCGTGACTAATTTATCGTTGAATTAATCACGATTAGCTAAGTGACCTGTTTTATCATCCTCACCTATCATCTCTCACTGGTGCCCCGCCAGTGTATACTGTTGGTAGGCGGGTTTAACATTCCATTATCATACATTGAAAAAAAAATAGTAATTATAAATTAATATGGTATATTAAAAATTAACGCTCCTTTCCACTCAAGGATTGCTGGAAAAGAATTCTTAAAGAGTTAAGCTCGCCTCTTTTACATCTTCATCTAATATAAACTATAAGAATGTAATTTGTGCGCACAATAAATAAATAAATAAAAATAAATGCCTTCATTCATTCATTGATCAACGCCCCCTTACCTGCTTGATAAACAAATAAGGGTCGAACGCATCAACCCAGGACGAAATCTGCTGGCAGTCCACTCGGCTGCTGCAGGACGAGATCACATCACCAGCCTCCTGCTTCAATTTCACATATTATATTAATAATAATAATAAAAATATACTTTTTCTCAAAAATGCTTGGAAATGTGAGCATTATTTTAACAATCTTCTTAGAGATAAATCAAAATTGCCGTACTGGCCAGATACATGCGGGCAACGGCCGGCAAAAGTTGTATGAAAATCCATATCTGTCGTGTTTTGCGGCCAGATAAATTACTATGTAAACTCATATCTGTCCTGTAATTTAAAAATGAAATGACCTTTTACTTCGAACCATGGCTACCAAGGAGGTAACTAATAAAAGGTTTTATTTAAATTTCGAACTGGCTTGCAAATAGAAAGCTGTTTATTGAAAAAAAAAAAAACAAAGGAACATTATGGCGCGTGAAAAATTATTATTGTTCGTTATTCGTCATTGAACTTAAAAAGTAAAATTGTGTTTTTTATTTCCGCGCATTGTTTGAGAAACTAGTTTGAGTACTATACAAGCCTTGGCCACAACTAGGCATTGATGGTCTCACGTATGTGTGCCTCGGCTGCACCTCGGCCCACATTTGTACGTTCGTCCATCAATGCCTCAGTTGTTGGCCGCTGCAGTAATGTACTATATTATTCAGACTACAATTTGGTCCATTTTGTTGGTAACAATTTTCTTACCAACTGTGTTAGTAAAAAAGAAAAGCAAATTAATTTAATTAAAGCAGTTCACTCAGACGTGACCCAGCCGACTAGAACAGCATCTGAATGTAATGCCTGATTATAGGCGAGTTATATTTCTCGCCTATTAATTTTAGAATGCTGTTGGTGCTTGTCCTAACTCTGTGTAGCAATGATGCAGTTCTCTTTCTCCTTATAGCGTAGTAATCATCTACGCGGGATTGAGCAAATATGCTAGAGGCGCTCTAAAACTGTTATTATTGTTTTTTTTTTTATAGACAACTTTGAATGGCAAACAAGCTGACGGCCCACCTGATGGAAAGTGGTAACCGTCGCCTATAAACATGAGCAGTACCATGGACATAACAGAGTATACTGTTTCGCCCATGATACCCCCCTATACATTGCCATTCCTGAGGACTCAGGTGTTATTCCTCTGTACCCTGTAAATTCACTGCCATATCCCACCCTTCAAACCGAAACATAGCCATGCAAACACAACTGCTTTACGGTAGAAACACGAATGGGACAGAGGTACCCAAGCAATTGACTTTTGTACAAAGTCTCCCTCTTATTATTATGTATTATGAAGATTACAATCCCATTTTCCGTTGCCGGCCTTTCAAATTTTTGTAGGCACGTTTTTTAAAATGTCTACTGTAAGGGGAGAACTGAAGACGGGAGCTCATTCCACGACTCAGATGGACAACTATCGAATGGAATAGAATGGTAGTATGTGTGTATGTGTAAGTTAAGCATAAAATTCATACAAACCTCGATGTCTGATGGTGCCTGCTCATCATGACACGCCAGAGAAGACTCATCTGCTGTCATACTAGATCCATTCTGGATAAAATAATATATTCTTTATTACAGATAACTAGGATCCATTTTTGTTAGTAACAATTGACTTAAACTGTATTAATAGAAAAACAAAAATACAAAACATATAGAAAAAGCAATTGATAAATATCTAAAAGAGTTAATAGATAGTAAATTGACATGAAATTATATTTGATACTAGCAGTTTCCCGGGGCGTTGCTCGCTTCTATGTAGTGGCCGTATATCATTCCCATTGGTACTTTTTTATAAATTCCGGTCTTATATTGTATTGTATACTTAAATATTAATTATTTAAGATAATTGTAAAGAAAAAAGCTTCTATTTTCAACCGATTCCAAAAAAGAAGGTTCTAAATTCGATTGTATTTTTTTTCTGTTTGTTACCTCATATATCAGTTGTAAACCAATTTGCAGAATTATTTTTTTATCCGAAAGGATTTATTTACAAATCGGTCTCTTTTTTTTACAACACAAGAGGCAAACGAGCATGCGGCTCACCGGATGGTAAGTGACCACCGCCGCCCATGATCACCCACAACACCAGCGGCATTGCAGGTGTGCTGCCGGCCTTTTAAAAAGGAATATACTCCTTACTTGAAGGTTATGTTGTCGTATCGGTTCGTCTCATAGAAATTTAACCAAAACCAGTTGAGTAGTTTAGAAAATAGATTAAATAATTCTTTCTGTAGGAAGCTACATTATCAATGTGTGACATAGAGTATATTTTATATCCAAAAAATATAGAGACCTCTATGAAAATTGCAATAATGTAACGTAAAGTGAACGGTTTCCATCAAGTGGACCACAAAAATTCCATTCAGAGTTGTAAAAAAAATTTTACTAACCCATCCAGCTGCTTCGGAGGCCAGGCTCTGACTGATCTCAGCTAGGAAACCACTGCTTGGACTCCTAGCCGATAGAGCTTCCAAACTCTCTATAGCTGTCCCCTGCGTGTCACATGTAGATGATATCTCACATTCAGAGTCACGAACGTAGCCGTCCTGTTCTAACATGGTCACGAAATCCGGCTGTAAGAGAAAATATAAGTTAAATTTAGAAATACTTGATTATTTGTTCAAGTAAATATAATTTCAAGAATTTGAGAATAGTTATTTTTAAAATCTACGGCAGGAATAACATAAGAATAAAAAAAACTCAGCTGTTATTTAAAGAAAAAAAAAACTAGATTTTTGCTACTTATAAAAATAAAAATAAATTTAAAACATGGAATAGTATATCAAAGATAGAAAAAAAGTAACACAGTGTTACTGTTTTTAAAAAGTAGATTTCTACAACTTATGTAATAATTGTGAATTTAGAACATGGAATTCTGTACAGAAGAATGGACAAAGAACTTAGTGTTGCTTTTTAAAAAAATAAATACATTTTTAAAGCTTATAAAAATAAATGTGAAGTTAGAACATGGAATTCCAGGTAACAATTTGCTTTGCAACAAGCATGTTGGGCAATAAAGTAACAACTTGTTTTAAAAAAATAATATAAATTTTAAAATATTAGAAATGTTCATGAGTTTACTTGTTGCAATATGGCAACATTGGTGAAAAATAATTTAAACATTGTCAATGTTTCTGGTTGATTATTTAAAAAGTGCTCTGCTAGCAAACCAAAATATATTTCACAGAATATATTGCATATAAATGTAACACTGAAAACTGCATCTATTTCATATTCTGCATTGGAATTTTTCAAACAATATTTTGCTATCAAAATATAAATTTTCATAGACATGAATCATTCATTCATGATAACTTAATTTGCTTTAACGCATGTTATACATTAAAAGTATTTAATGTTAAAAACTGAATAATAAATAAATAAATATATACGGACAAATCACACAGATTGAGCTAGCCCCAAAGTAAGTTCGAGACTTATGGGATACTAACTCAATGATACTATATTTATAATAGATACATATATAGATAAACATCCAAGACCCAGGCCAATCAGGAAAAGATCATGACCTGGCCGGGGATCGAACCCGGGGCCTCCACGTCGCAGGCAAGCATGTTGACCGCTGCGCCACGGAGGACGAATCTCTGCATCCAGTCGTGTGGCGTGCAAATATTTCATTTAAAACTTGTCCTTAAAATTTTACAGTGATCCTCAAGTGAGTGAAAACATTTTTCAATAAGATAATTGTAAAGTTTCTGATAAAATTTTTTGTCTGGCAGTTCTCTGTATTCTTTTATTGCCTTACCTTTTAGGATATGAGAACTTTTTTTTTAATAATAATAAATCAGAAACATTAAATTTTTTTTTCTAATTTACAGACTTGCCATACTTTGTCAACCTATAGTAATTTACACCCATACCCATGTATTTTTGAACATTCTTCATGGAGGACTTACCTGCACATATTTCTCTCCATTACTCAAAAAATCAGAACATGTAACCAAGTCATCAGTTGTTGAAGTTGGTTGATACATCTCCAAATCATTGCTTGACTTCCTTCTCTTTATCAATCTCTTCTCCACTGAGTTCTTCCGCGATTTCTTAGCATCCTCTTTGTCTGTTGTCATTACTCTAGCTGCTTTGTCTGCAAGGAAGCTCACTTCATCTTCAGTTTGAACATTTTCACCCATCAATTGTGCACACTCTGTGATTGCCATAAAATCATTTAGACAATCATTTGGAAGACATAGTTCTGATGACTCTACTTGACCATCAGAATCGGATTCTTCAGATTTTGGATTCGGAAAGTCAACAAATGTGGTTGTATGTGCTTCGTACATGGTAACATCATTGTCATCAGTCCAATTTGATGTTTCTGGTAAAACTGAAGCTTTCGCTTTGCTCTTCTTCTTAGGGCTTTCATTGGTTGATGTTACCTTAGTGATTTTTGGTGAAGATACACCCATCTGACGTACTTTACGTATTGGTGAACTATTCAGTGATGCTGATTTGTCAACTTTATCCATACGTCTGGTTTTCCGAGGTGAATTTAACGCTGATGACAAAGCCTCCGTTTTTCGTAACTCACGATTCAAGGAACTGTGACGTAGTTGCACACTCTTTGTCATACGTACATCTTTAGGTTTCGATGTTGTGGTTACTTTATCGTTCTGGGTCTTGGGTGTTTTGATGCTTGTGGATGATGTGACCGCATCCTTATTTGTGCTACGTACAACAGTTTGGAAAATGGGCTTCTTTGTGCAATTGTCTTTTAGTTTTGGCTTAGTTTGTGCAATGGGTTTCTCCATGATTTTTACTATACCGGTTCTAACGGGCCTAGTTTTTAAATTCTTCTGTGATCTAGTGATACAGAACTGAGGCACGTCAGCTTGTAAGGCATTCTTGGCTGAATCCCTTTTCAGGATAGTTTTCAAAGTGGAGTTTGATTTTGACAAAGACTTATTCAAAGGTTTCTTCTTTAGTTTGGCTACGTTCTGCGTACTCCTCTTCGTTGAGAGCGGCCGCTCCCTCTTTCTACTTCTTAACCGCATTGCAAGTTTAGAAGGAAACTTGACCTGAAAATAGTAGATTTATATATATTTTTTTTTATTTAAATTATTAAAAATAAATAAGGTAAATGAATACAATTATTTCTCTACAATTAACAGAAATGCTGTTGCAATTATCATATCAATTATGAATTGTACATTGCTGAAAATCAGCCTTCCCCATAGATTTATGGCAGATAAAGAATAATTTTGCAACTAATTACATCCACTGATTCCCTGGAACACATTCGAGGTAGTCACTCCATCTGGTGGAGGAGGTCATCCAACACTACGTTTGCCTGTACAGGGTCCTCACTCGGGAATCTTTCTTCCCCGTCAATTATTGGTTCTATTAATTTATTTAATTTATTGAATTAACAATAACTTACATGAACTCAACTCGTAACAGGAAATTAATTTATTCCATGTACAATAAAGAATAAATTAATTTACGTGTAATATCGGCGCCGGCAAACATCACTTTCAAAACTAATTTCTTTGTTTCAACACGCCTGAATTTTATTTCCGTACAGTCCGCGGCATTCGTTCGCGCCTTTTTCACATCTAAGTTTTTATCACATTTCAGCTATTATCCTACACTTAATCACTTTAATTTAGTATTTTGTATATTTCTCTGTAAAGAAAACACAGTTTTTAGTCATTTACCATTAAAATAACATTAAATATTGCAAGCACAAAATAAAAAAAGCGGCACCAGAAGTTATCGATTTATGCGCTGTTTAACTAAAACGATCTTCACTTATGCGATACATTTCATACGTATAAAATATTAGCGAATAGTTTTATTCGCGTAATTATAAGTAAAAATCACTGTATTATGATATTTACAAGACAGTTTAAATGATAAAAAACATAAAGCCAAACAAATGTCAAAATGGCGGCGATTGTTTTTTAATGCTTTTATTTCTTCAGATGGCGCTCCAGAGCCCGCGCATGCGTTTTGTTATGTTCTGAGATTAGGTAAGTCAATAAAATAGGTATTCAATAAATGTTTATAACAAATTTGTGTGAAATTCTATATTAAAATTAAGTCTACCATTCATTTATTTCTAATTTTATTCTATCCTTTATGAATATATTAATATACCAAGAAGATTGATATATTAAGTCCAAAATACATTTATCATTATGTATAACCAAAATACTATTTTATGTGTTAAATTACCATACAGGAATAAATTATTACTGCAAAATGTAATCACTCGTTTGTAGAATGACATTTATTTTGTATACATTTTTACAAACTTTTTCCTAATGTAATGTTAGTAAAATATAAGAAATAAATATATTTGGATGTTCTGGACACAGTCATTATACAATATTTATTCGAAGACGAAGATTATTTTCAAATACATAACAAAATTAAATCAATAAATTAAGTAAATTAATTTTGTTATGTAAATTAATTACTTATTGGCAGTAAAAATTCTCGTCTTTTTCACGATAGAATAAATAAATAGAATAATAAAGAAATAGAATGAGTAGATTATTTTTTTTATAAATTACGTCTAAAAAATAATATACAATTAGACATTTGTTTTGCAGTTTGACAAATTTTGGTACATTTTAGTCATTGAAGTCCATTTTTAATATGATCACACTCAACATTGAAACTCAGACAGTGCTATTATATGATGGCTACCCAGGGCCGTAAAATTTGCTAAAATTAAAAAAATATTAACATTTGAAATTTTTGCGTTTATTATAATTTTGTTTAAAATAGTTTTATTTTAATTTTTAATTCACGTAAACATTTAAATTTTTTCTTCAGTGTTGAGCTTTTATAGTAAAAAATATTATATAAAATGTCAAGTATTTCAGTCACATCATCCAAACGTGAGGTAAGAAGCTTGTCATAATTTTACTCACTAAATTTGAAAATGAACCATTTCATTTACGAAATATGTATTAATTAATAAATTGAGGCATATTAGTTATTTTTGTCGATAATCATGAAAGTGGACAAATTAACCGAATGAATGATAACTGTAGTAAGATTGTCGCCGTGTTTTCTCTGTTTACTTTATAAAAAAATCTTTGTTTTGTGTTAACGAATAATAAAGTTATTCGTATATAGGCTTAGTATATTTTTACGGTCTGATCGCTTGACATTGTACCATGCCCCTAGCATCTAATTTCAATCAATCGCTTTATTTAATTTAATTTTCGTTTATGAGAAGTAATTTTGTAGTATTGTAAATTTTTGTTCTAGATACAGTTTGCGGTTGTACAAATAAAAAAAAAAAATATTTATTTATTTATTTAACAAAGTATGTTTGTATTAGCACAGAATTTATCATTAACATAGATTGGGGGTGGTTAACATTTCAAAAAGGAGAATCTTAATTCAACTATTATATTTTTTTCATGTATTACAAAATATCCAAGTTCTTTGACAGTTTTAAAAATTATCTGTTAATTTTTTATTTTTTTTTTTTACAGAAAGGCACAGCAGAGCTAGCTCAAGAAGTAGACTCAATTAGAGCTCTGAACAAAAGTCTACAAGCATATTTGGAACAGCTCCGTGTTTATAAAAAGAATTTAGGAGCAATGAATGAAAATTGCAAACAACTCTCGAAAGTAAATACAGAATGGATAAAGACAATAAATATGATGAGATGATTATTTTTATTATATAATTAAATTATTTATGTAAATAATAGTGTTATATAATAACTATTGTTCGTGATAGTGATATTTCTACCCTTATTCCAATTATATAAATTTTGGGGTCAGTTTAATATGTTTTATTTATATTATACAAGATTTTGGCTTTTCATTTTACAACTGGCCACCTACCTGACATCAACCCTCTGGTGGGGGGGGGGGGGAGGTTAGTCTTTTTATACAACTTAGAATGTCAAACAAGCTGACGGCCCACCTGATGGAAAGTGGTAACCGTCGCCTATAAACATGAGCAGAAAATGGTTAATATAAATGGTCCCATTGCTATCAATATACCTCATCAGGTTGACCTCCACGAGGTTCTCCTTGGAAACTATTGTTCCTAATTTATCCTTGAATTCGTCATGATGGGCTAACTGACCTGCCTAATAGCGCAGGTTTTACTATGGCATTTTCACCCATTAAAAAAAACCCTCTTTAGGAATGCATTTATTAGTGGTATCTGCTACATGTAATACAGAAGAAAGTATTCAGTAGGGAAAAGAAAGGAGAGAGTGAATAAAGGAAGTCGGTAGAAGAGGAATGAAGGATTTATAAGGAAGAAGGGACACTGCAATAGCAGAGTGGATAGTAGTGGAATACTGCAGTGGCTCGGGGAATCAGGGTCACATACCTGCATGCACTTATTTTAGATCTGGATAGATCACTATAGGAGAACACTAGCAGATACTGTATTATAATTTTTTTTTATATTGGATTTACTAACATACAGACAGGGTGAGTTTTTAGCTATAATAATAATAATATAAGCCTTTATTAAAGAAGTAACATAATAAACAATTCAATGTAAATAATATTCAATCAGTAACTGTTCTGTCACCTCTCTCTTGTCCAAAGACAAAGGCCTCCTCCAGAGTCTTCCATTCTATTCTGTCTTTGGCTATCCTTGTCCAAAATGCACCTGCTACTGCTTTTATATCTGTAACCCATCGTGTCAGTGGTCTTCCCTGTCTTTGGCCTATTCTAGGGTACCAGTCTGTTACAGTTGTTGTCCATTTTTGTGTTTTTTCTCGCATAATATGTCCTGCCCATCTCCATTTTAATTTTTTTATTGTATAAATAACATTTTTGAATTTTGTTTTCTCTTTAATTTCTACTAATTTAACCCTATTCTTTATTTTAATGCCCAAGACACTTCTTTCTATGCTGTTTTGACATACTTTTAATTTTTTAAGATTTCTTTCAGTTAATGGCCATGTTTGACACCCATATGTAAGACAAGGTAATATGCATGTATCAAACACTTTCTTTTTGTCATTCATATATATATATTTGTTTTTCATAATCTCTTTTAATGACCAATACCTATTCTATGTATTGGCGATTCTCCTGTCAATCTCTTTGTTTGTGTCATTTGCAAGAGAGATTATTTGGCCCAGATATAAATATTCCTCAACATATTCAATGCGTTTTCCATTCAATGTTATGTTTTTGTGTATGCCATTTGTTAATACCTTTGTTTTCTTGATATTGATAGACAGTCCAGCTTTCATACTCTCATTTGCTAGTTCTTGAACCATGATTTGCAAGTTTTCAGAGCTGTCTGTGAGAAGAACTGTGTCATCCGCAAATCGTAAGTGTGTCAAATACTCGCCGTTTATATTCAAACCATAATGCGTCCACTCCATTTTTCGTAATATCTGTTCTAGTACAGTTGTGAATAGTTTAGGGGAGATGGGATCCCCTTGTCTAACGCCTCTTTGTATAGGAAAGGGTTGTCCTGTTCTTTCTAATCTTACTTTTGCTGTACTCTTATAATATATGTTACGCAATAATCTTATGTATTTGAGTTCTATACCCTGCATCCGTAAAGCTTCCCATAGGGACTCATGTTCTAAGGAGTCGAATGCTTTAGTATAATCAATAAAACATAGGTAATAATCTAGGCTGTATTCATTGTATTTTTCTACAATTTGTTTAACTGTATGTATGTGATCTAGAGTGCTATAATTGCTTCTGAAACCAGCTTGATCTTTTGACTGGTTTTCATCCAATATTCTGGACATACGGTTTAAAAGTACCTTGGAAAATACTTTGTAAATGTGGCTCATAAGACTAATTGGCCTGTAATTATTTACATCGTTTTTATCTCCTTTCTTGTGTATTAATGTAATTACAGATTCAGTCCATTGTATGGGGATCTCTTCAGTTTCTAAAATCTGATTGAATAATTTTGTTAGTTGTGGTGCAATTATAGGCAGCGAACATTTCAGGAGCTCATTTGTAATTTGATCTTCTCCTGGTGACTTTCCATTTTTTTGATTAAGGATGGCCTTTTCTGTTTCTCTTACTAATATTTTTGGTACTGGTTCTTCTTGCCTACATTGATAATTATTTTCTTCTTTAGTTAATTTATTACTAATTTTATGGGATGTATATAAATCTTTATAAAATTCAGTTGCTATATTTATAATTTTACGTCTCTTGCCTGTATTTTGTTTTTTATTATTTATCAGACTTGGTACAGAGTTTTTAGCTATACATAACATTAAATTTAAATTTAATAATTGTCACAATATTGTACACTGCTGTATCCGCTGACGTTGATACTCCTTTCCACTTTGGGTGTTGCTGGAAGAGAACTCTCTTAGAGTTAAGCTCGCCTTTGTACATTTGATTACCTCTGTCGTATTCTTACAACTGGTGTGTACAATAAAGAATTAAGAAGAAATATCTACCCATGTTATAAACTAGCATAACTATACCATCTGAGGCCATGGTAAATTCATCGGATGAGTCTCTCCCTTTATTTAAAAAGGCTCGGGGGTTTTGCCAGTAGTTGCCACGCTTGGCAGGCGGTTGGCGGTTTGGGAATGGTAACCCCGCCTGCGCTAACGGGATACGTTGGCGGAGCACCAGTGAAGGGTGATAGATGAGAATGAAAACAGATCAGTTAGCCCATCATGATGAATTCATCAGAAATTAACCATGATAGTTTCCAGGGAGAACCGCGAGGTCGACCTGGTTGGGTATATTGTTAGCAATGGGATTCTCAGTCTCCATTACTAACAATCCCTTTTCCCCCCCCGCTCTTTGTAGTTAATAAATATATCTTTGCAATTGAATAAGTTTTATTTAAATATAACAAAGAGAAATATGTGTCAGGTTTTGAAGTCCATTGGGATAAGGGTAGGATGATGGTAGAAGCTGAATATTCAGAAGCTGTCCGTAGCACTTTCCACCGGCACACCTTTCGTAGTCTTTTCTGTAATGTAATTGAATTTATTCTATAGATTTTTAAGCGATTCTATAAAAAAAAAAAATGTGTTAAAACTCAGTTGTAACAAAACCAGATATTTTGATTTAAAAACCAAACCGATTTTTGATAAAATTTCTATGGGATTAATCTGTAAGTAGGTATATCATGGTATATCAGTAATTTTTTTTTAATGGATGATAATGGAATGGTAACCTCACCCGCGCCATTTGTATACACCGGCGGGGCACCAGTGAGGGATGATAGGTGAGGATGAAGCAGGTCAGTTAGCCCATCGTAAATTGTTCGCATTTTCATTGTCAACAAATCATTCAACATGAATTGTTCACGATGAGTTCCAGGAGGAATCATGTGGAGTTCGACCTAATAGGGCATATTGCTGGCAATGGGGCTGTTAAACTCCATTGCTAACAACCCCTTTGTCCCCAATAAATTTTGCTTGAATGAGTAACAAACATCCACCCATCCTAACAAATATACATCCATCCTCACAAACTCGCTATATACTTTAGCGGAAGTAGGATAAGAGAATTATAATGTGGGATGCGACATCTAGCGGTTAGTAGAAGAATAACAAATATGCTTTAATACAGTTACCAATCATACAAATGGAATACTGCGGGGTGTCACACGGTAGTCCATACACCAACCCATTCAAATGATCTTGTCTGTCTAAGTTGAGGCATGAATTATCCATTGAAAACTCCTCATCCAGCCATGGCGGCACCTAGCGGGAGAAATCTGTACTATAAAAAATCAGAAAAGAATATGCAAATTTATATTGTATGTCCGAAAAAAGGAAACTGAGGGCCCACCATGAAATGTTTTCCGAAATTTCGGAGCCAAACGAAACACAAATTTGATGTTAAAATTACATAATACAAGCCGTTTGGAAATATTAAAAATGTAAAAATATTGTACCTTTGGACTTTTATGATAGGATGTATGACGAACGAAATGTTAAACTCCATTTATTGGTCCGATTTTGGTGTAAACAAAAACACGAAATTGAGTCCGAAATTTCGGAATTTCATTTCATGGTAGACCCGCTGTTGATGACATTATATTATTTTTCTAACAACCATTGTATAGATTGTCTACGTTAACGTGTGCGGCCATATACAGACGTGGTGCTCTGTTTGTGTTCGTGAGGAGACGTCTTCAGTAGCGATCTGGCCGGGGGAGTATTATATTTCTTTTTCAACCCCACCCGCGCTATCGGTATACACCGGCGATGCACCAGTGTAGGGATGATAGGTGAGGATGAAGCAGATCAGTTAGCTCATCGTGACGAATTCAACAAGGATTGTTCACGATGGTTTCCAGGGGGTACCACGTGGGCGTCAACCTAATAAGGCATATTGCTAGCAATGAGGCTGTCAAACTCCATTGCTAACAATCCCTTTGCCCCCGACGAAATTGCAATTGAATTATTTAACTATTGAAATCTTTATAAAAATTTAAGGATCGACGCCCCCCTCGCTTCTAATCGCTGTACCAGACAGGGTCTACAATGTACTGTATTAATTATTAACATCTTTTATAATAATATTGTAGAATGCAATAAATTAATTGAATTTAATTGAATTGAATATACATGGGCGGGATACTAGTGAGAGATGATAGGTGAGGATGAAAGCAGGTCAGTTTGCCCATTGTGATGAATCCAGCAAGAACTAACGACCAAGGTTTCCAAATGGAACTTCCCGTGGAGTTCGACTTGACGTGGTGCATAGCTAGCAATGGGAGCGCTAGTTGCTGTCAATGACAATCTCCTCGTTCCCGGATTAAATTCATGCTACCTGAGAACTTAGTCGCGAAGGAGGGTCTCATCGACGATCCACTATTATAATAAAGACCCACGACCACTCTGTCAAGAGCGTACCACTGAAGAGAGACCTGGCAACTTACATAGAGCCCATAAGAGATTTCATTCTGTAAGGAATCGTAAATTCTCTTCCCGTTGGCAGGGTTGTACCAAACATAGTTGATATTTTCTGTAGCGTCCTTCGTCATATTCAGTCGACCAGATATCCAGATGTGGCCGATTGCTGCAAAACAAATTTATAATTAATATTTTTTGAAAAAAAAATGTTTATAGCGCCATCTATTATTAAGTAACAGACCTATATGTTTGCTATTTAATAATAGATGGCGCTATAAACAATTTTTTTTCCATTCGAAACCTTTAAGAGCATTTCAGATAATAAATATAAATACATCATGAAATACGGTTAGTGTGTCTTTTAGATTGGCAAAACAAAACCTCAAAAAGAATGATTTTTACGTAAAATGTAATTCTGCTATTTGCTACTAGATGGCGTTATGTCAACTATGAAGCTGTACTCGTTAAGGCCACAGTGCTGGTTTGTTTTTAGAAGACTGTCACCACTTTCCATGATACCCAGCCAGTTTGTTTGCGTCTTTTTAAAACGGTTTCATATACTATTTCATATACATATACCGGTCATGCGGACGAAGTCGCGGGAAAAATCTAGTACCTAATAATATGAAACACCACTGGCCATATAGGTCCAGGCATAGATAAAAGCCACCCCTTCCTTTCCCGTAGGTGTAAATGGCGAGGGATGGGCATCAGTGTCCCTCTTAAAACATCTCTAAAACCTAACTGCGGTTGCCAATCCGCCTGCCAAGAGTGGGAACTATTGGCAAAACCCCCCAAAGGGGAGGCTTATGTTCAGCAGTGGACAGTTAAAGGCTGGTATGATGATAATCATGATGACGAAATACAAACGTTGGTCCTTGTTTTCGCCCATAAGTAACAGGAGTTGTATCAACACATCGTTGTTGTCAACACTGGCGAGGGTTCCGTTCAATCTCTGACAGTTTTCATACGCATGTTGCCAATACATAAGCTGCTTGATCAGCACGTAGTTGTAAATGTCGTCGCTAGGGGGCGCTGGTGTCGTTTTAAGAGCTGGTGCACCTGAAAAAAATACAGCAGGGAGGGTCAGTGACGCGGACAATTTGCCAATTTGCTTGCAATGTGCTCTGTCAGGTCGACCTCCGCACGGTTCGTATCCGAAACCCTGCAAATTTACGACGGCTAGCTCCTCTGTCATACTGGGGGGAAGGGATTGTTAGTACTGCGAACTACCAGTCCCATTGCTAGCAAAATACCCTGACACATCAACCTCCATGAGATCCCTCCTGGAAACCATCATGCTGAATTCCAGGTGTATTCATCACGATGGGCTAACTGACCTGCCTTATCATCCTCACCTATCATTCCTCACTGGTACTCCGCCAGTGTATACCGATAGCGCAGGCGGGGTTACCATACCATTATCACCCATAAATAAAAGTCATTAATAAAAAGTCTATGCTCATTATGCCTTATTGAAAAGGCAACCCACTCTTGTTGTACCTAATTATCCCAGGAGCATCTCTATATGTAATTAGTGATAAATCCAAACGTTCAATCGATTGATCGATGCTTGATCTGTACTACTGTTAGACATCAGCGGACTGGCTTATGGTCTTCCCAAAAGACTTTCCAGAGGGAGACTTTGTACAAAAGTCGATTGCTTGAGTACCTCTGTCCCATTCGTGTTTCAACCGTGACGCAGTTGTGTTTACATGGCTGTGTTTCGGTTTGAAGGGTGGGATATGGTGTGAATTTACTGGGTACGGAGGAATAACACCTAAGTCCTCAGGAATGACAACGAATGGGGTGTATCATGGGCGAAACAGTATACTCTGTTATATCCATGGTACTGCTCATGTGTATAGGCGACGGTTATAACTTTCCATCAGGTGGACCGTCAGCTTGTTTGCCATTCTAAGTTATATAAAAAAAAAAGAAAAAAAAAACATCAGCCATTACCTGTTTATTACTGAACATAGACCTCCCACATAAACTACCTTTGTCATTAGGGGAGTTATGCCAGTAGTTGCCACGCTTGGCAGGCGGGTTGACAACCGCAGTAAAACTTTGGAGATGTTTTAAAAGGGACGCTGCTGTTTATTCCTCGACCATTAAGTTCCCTTAGTCAGCTCTTACGACACCCACGGGAAAGGAAGGGGTGGCCTATTCTATGGCGGGACCACACGTATTTTTGTAAGTATTATTATTATTCCAACTGTCCACTGCTGAACATAAGCCTTCTCCGTAAGGTGGGTTTTGCCAGTAGTTGCCACGCTTGGTAGGCGATTTGGCAACCGCAGTTAGGCTTTCGAGATGTTTTAAGAGGGACGCCGCTGCCTATCCCTCGCCCTCAGGCGTCTCTTACGACACCCGGGAAAGGAAGGGATGGCCTATTCTATGCGGGGATCAGACACGTTTGTTTAGGTAGGTATAATTTCATTAAATTCTTTTAAAAGAGTACCTTTAAAGCATATAAACTGCATTTTCCTTTCGCATCTAGCTTCTAGGAACACAGGTGGATTTGCAGAGTGTCTGTCCAATTGGAGGCAACCGCTTTGCTTTACCTCTGACCTGTCTCTGTTAAAACAAACATTGATTAATATAAAAGTCTTAGCAGCTTTTACTTTTTTCAGAAGTAACTTTATAAAAAAAAAAATATTAGACCAATCTGCAAATATATCCTTTCAGAGAAAAAGAGAGTTCTCCAAATCGGTTTATAAATAACGGATTTATGAGTTACGGAGTTTAAGGCCAGCAGCACAGCTGCAATGCCGCTGGTGTAGTCAGTGATCATGGGCGGTGGTGGTCTCTTACCATCAGGTGAGCCGCATGCTCGTTTGCCCCGTGAGTTGAAAAAAAAATATGAGGTAACGAACAAAAAAATACAATCGAATTGAAAATCACCTTCTTCTCCCTTTTTTTCTGAAGTCAATTGATAAGAGCAACAATTGAAGTCTATCTGAATAATAGTACATTACTGCAGCGGCCAGCAAATGAGGCATTGATGGACGAACGTGCAAATGTGGGCCGAGGCATAGCCGAGGCACACAATTTTACTTTTTAAGCTCAATGACGAATAACGAACAATAATAATTTTTCACGCGCCATAATGTCCCTTTGTTTTTTTTTTTTTCAATAAACAGCTTTCTATTTGCAAACCAGTTCGAAATTTAAATAAATTTTGTATTAATTACCTCCTTGGTAGCCATGTTTCGAAGTAAAAGGTCACTCCATTTTTAAATTACAGGACAGATATGAGTTTACATAGTAATTTATCTGGCCGCAAAACACGACAGATATGCATTTTCATACAACTTTTGCCGGCCGTTGCCCGCATGTATCTGGCCAGTACGGCAATTTTGATTTATCTCTAAGAAGATTGTCAAAATAATGCTCACATTTCCAAGCATGTTTGAGAAAAGATTATTTCTATTTTCAACCGAGTTCAAAAAGAAATAGGTCCATTTTTTATTTGTGGAACACAATTTTATTTAATATTCTATTGCAAGAAAATCAGACGACAAATAAAGACCTTTGTCTTTAAGAAGAAAAATTGTTTATTTTATTTTGACTCCTAAAGAGGGTTGACGTCAGGCTGGCGGCCGGTCATAAAACTAAAAACTAAATCCTTTAGTAATATGGATAAACATATAAACATATAGCCCAAATAATAATTGGAATTAACGGTAGGAAGGTAGTTTTTTTTTTTTAATTTGATTTATACCTCATCGGCGGCCACTGACCGGACTGCGCGTCCGTGAACGCTGGTGCTTGGAATATACTGACTCCAGTGTCCACCCAGTACCAATGGCCAAGGGTACCCCGGGCCCCGAGCCACGCGTTCTCAATACCTGAATATGTAAATTATTTGCTTACAACATCTGTAGAGTTCTGTATGGTGGCAACACTATTATGTGGGTGGGAAAGGATTGTTAGTAATTCTAACAGTCCATTGCTAACAATACACCCTATCAGGTCGACCTCCACTCGGTTCCCCCTGGAAACTAATATGGTTAATTCCTGATGAATTCATCATGATGAGCTAACTGGCCTGTTTTCATTCTTATCTATCACCCTTCACTGGTGCTCCGCCAGCGTATACCGTTAGCGCAGGCAGGGTTACCATACCATTTTCACCCATAAAAAAAAATGGTTGACTGGTAGAGAACACCGTCCGATGTTAAGTCCGCCAAATTTAAATAGAATTTTACTATGCATTAAAGTTTAAATAAATAAATAAATACTGTTCCCTCGTCTCTTCGTATTTGCATACATCTACTTACTAGGCCGTGTCTTAAGCATGCTTCTACCCAACTTCTTTAAACACCTCATTGTCGCTATGTCGGCCAAACTGTAAATTTAAAGTCAAACTGAATTTTAGTTTTTCATATATTGTACTGTTTTTTTTATACAACTTAGAATGGCAAACAAGCTGACGGCCCGCCTGATGGAAAGTGGTAACCAGCGCCTATAGACACGAGCAGTACTATGGACATAACAGAGTATACCGTTTCGCCTATGATACCCCCCATGCGTTGCCATTCCTGAGGACTCAGGTGTTCACCCATGATACTGTTAACATAAGCAATCTAGTATTATGGAAATTAAACTTTTATATATGGTGTTACCAAATTATCTGCATTCCTCGCTACAGGGCATAGTATTAGATATATACATTACGTTAGTATATTTACTTTATATTATTCCTTTCCCGTGGATGTCGGTTATGTCCATGGTACTGCTCATGTCTATAGGCGACGGTTACCACTTTCCATCAGGTGGGCCGTCAGCTTGTTTGCCATTCTAAGTTGTATAAAAAAAATAGTAGCGACTATCAGAACTTTACGGTAGAAGGATGGACAGCAGTGTCCTTCTTAAAATACCCTCAAAGTCTAACTGCGGTTGCCAAGCCAACTGCCAAGCGTGGTAACTGCTGGCAAAACTCTCCAAGGGGGAGGCTTATGTTCAGCAGTGGACAGTTAAAGGCTGGTATGATGACCGGGATTTAACGTGAGAGGGTACCCGAAGAAACTGCGCGGTCTGTCAGACGATGACGTCGCACACTTGAGTCCAGTCGTAAGCACGACGTGATGTAATATATGTAGGTATACCAGAGGGAGACTGTACAAAAGTCGATTGCTTGGCTACCTCTGTCCCATTCGTGTTTCAACCGTGAAGCAGTTGTGTTTGCATGACTGTGTTTCGGTTTGAAGGGCAGGATATGGCGTGAATTTACTGGGTACAGAGGAATAACACCTGAGTCCTCAGGAATGGCAACGAATGGGGGGTATCATGGGCGAAACAGTAGACTCTGTTATATACATGGTACTGATCATGTCTATAGGCGACGGTTACCACTTTCCATCAGATGAGCCGTCAGTTTGTTTGCCGTTATAAGTTGTATATAAAAAAAAAAGTGGAGGATAAAAAAAAAAGCAATCATTTAGGTAATATTTACCGACAAAAATTGTTTTTCATCGCGTTAAGTCCTATTAACAAAAATTTGAAAAAAAAAAAATCATATTACTTATTTAACATTTAAATAACATCGCGTTTCTAATTTGATGTGCTGCCATCTATTGATCGTGTTTGAAAATTAAAACGTTTGCATTTAGCGCCGACTGGTGGCGAAACCGAGTTTAAATTCTAACAATATTATTAGATCAATGTTGACAAAACGGTCGCGCTACTTGTCCGCCGCAGTCGTACAGCACCGCCGCCGCCCTTAAGGCTCCTTAATAAGGAAATCGCGTGGGAGAGCACCGTGCGATACCTAGGGGTCGACATCGACCGGTCGTTGAGAATGGTGCCGCAGGTAAAGCGAGCCATAGCGCAGGCTCGCGCGGCGCGCGCCTTTCTCCGACCGGTGCTAACTTCCAGGTTGCCGTTACGGACGCGGGTCTCTATCTATAAGACCTACGTCCGTTCACGGTTAACATATGCCGCACCCGCTTGGTATGCACTGTGCTCTCCGACGCTTAGGCGCCGGCTGCAGGCCCAGCAAAACATCGCTCTCCGCTTGTGCACGGGAGCGGGCAGATACGTCCGTAACGACGTCATCGCCCGCGGCTTAGGGGTCCCAACGGTGGAGGGGTTCGTTGTCGACATGGCGAGCAAAATGTTCGCCCGTGCCGACAACGGACACCATCAACACTTAAGGGGCCTCGCGCCGCTGCATGCGCGTCCACCGGACGGCCGTCCCACGCCTAGGGACCTCCTGTGCACAGGCGAATAGTGATCGTGATTGCCTCGTCTACCAGTACGACGACTTACCTACCCTTTTTCCCCATTTCCCTTCTTCTTTCTCATTCCCTCCTCTCGCCCGTTCCAAGTGTGTAATTATATCCCCCGCGTCCAAGCGGGGGGAGGGCCGACACACTTCTTGTGTCGACCCTTACTAACACAACTTATTTATCACTAACACCTATTATATATATCTGGGAACGGGCGAGAGGGGAGAATTACAATTATTAAAAAAAAAAAAAAAAAAAATATGTATATATATACAAGAAGAAAGAAGAAGAAGCCACAACAAAGAAGACACCACGCCGGCATACACAGACCACCAGTGTATGCCGGCTCAAAACCCAGTGACCCGGAGGTAGTTGCCTCCGGAGATGCAGCCGGGGTAAAGGGGTTTACCCCGAGACCCCTACCTCACCCGCCTACACTATTAAAGGCGGGCAAGAAGACCCGGATTGATTGATATTATTAGAAGACACCACGCCGGCATACACAGACCACCAATGTATGCCGGCTCAAGAACCCAGTGACCCGGAGGTAGTCGCCTCCGGAGATGAAGCCGGGGTAGAGGGGTTTACCCCGAGGCCCCTACCTCGCCCGCCTACACAACAAGGCGGGCAAGAAGACCTATGATGATGATGAATTTCGTGCTATTATTTTATGGACCATCACAAAATAAATTATTAATTATTATTACTTAAATATATTATAATAAAGATTACGCTGTGATCATCGTCAACATGTCAGCCTTTTACTGTCCACTGCTGAATAAGCCTCCCTCTTAGGGAGATTTTGCCAGTAGTTGCCACATTTAGCAGGCGGATTGGCAACCGCAGTTAGGCTTTGGATATGTTTAAATAGAGACGCTGTGTTGTAAATAGCAGGATGCAGTAATAAAACATATATATATTTGTAATATAAAATAATAAGTTTAGAGAAAAAATACGAGACATGTCTTATAAAAATCTGAAGAAGACCGAACTTAAAAATAATACATTGTTCTAAAAAACCTCAGTGTCAATAGCCAGTATTTTTTTTTATTGGATGAAAATGGTATGGTAACCGCGCCTGCGCTAACGGGATACGCTGGCGGAGCACCAGTGAAGGGTGATAGATGAGAACGAAAACAGGCCAGTTAGCCCATCATGATGAATTCATCAGGAATTAATCATGATAGTTTCCAGCGGGAACCGCGAGGAGGTCGACCTGGTTGGGTATATTGCTAGCAATGGGATTCTCAGTCTCCATTACTAACAATCCCTTTTCCCCTCCAACAGCCAGTATTAAAACTCCAACACGTTGCTGCCCATCCCTCGCCCTCCCGTAGCCGCCTCTGACGACACCGACGGGAAAGGAAGGGGTGGCCTATTCTATGCCGGGACCACATGGAGACCACACGCTGTGATATGTAATTTAAATTTGAAGTCATTGACGCTTCAGGATCGGCCTGAATGCCAGTTAAAGGGGGGAGAAGGGATTGTTAGTAATAGGGATTAGCAACCTCATTGCTAGCAATAAACCCTATTAGGTCGACCTCCACGCGGTTCCCCCTGGAAACCATCATGATTAATTCGTTGTTGAATTTGTCAGGATGGACTAACTGACCTGCTTCATCCTCACCTATCATCCTTCACTGGTGCCCCGCCGGTGTATACCGATAGCGCGGGTTGGGTTGCCATTCCATTATCATCCATTAAAAAAGAATGCAAGTTAAAACTGCATTAGAAGTCGAACCAACCTCATGTGGGGGGAAAGGGATTGTTAGTAATGGAGACTGAGAATCCCATTGCTAGCAATATACCCAACCAGGTGGACCTCCTCGCGGTTCCCCCTGGAAACTATCATGGTTAATTCCTGATGAATTCATCATGATGGGCTAACTGGCCTGTTTTCATTCTCATCTATCACCCTTGACTGGTGCTTCGCCAGCGTATCCCGTTAGCGCAGGCGGGGTTACCATACCATTTTCACCCATCAAAGAAAAAAGCCAACCTCATGTTGTGGAGTAGGCAGTAAGCAGCGGCCTGGTGCCAGTTCATCATGCCATTGTACACGTGGTATAAGCCAGCGCTGCACCTCACCACGTCCAGCTTGCTAACTCTAATTTGATTTTGAGCCTCTGTTCAGAAATATTTCATTTGTTTTCAATAATTTAAACTTGTATTCCATAATAAAAACAGAAATAATAAAATTAAATTAATATATAAAAGAAGTTGTTATCCAATGGCTGTCCGGATATACAACAAACTACCGACCCCTTTAAAGGAATTGCCGTCGACACAATTTAAAATACAATTAATTAATTTATTAATTGACAAATGCTACTATTCAATAAGTGATTATATAAACGATGTTGAACTGTAATTATTAGAAAACATAATATTTTGACAATACATACTTGATATAATTTTAACATTTGTCATGAATATATTGACAGTTTTATAACAATAATTTCATTACTTTTATAATAATAATAAATGTATAATATGTAACTTTAATTGAATTATATAAAGAATAATAATATAATAGATTAATTCAAATATGTATTTGCATGTCTGTAAAGACTAAATGTGAGATTTATATAACATAAATAACCATACCATCTATTATGTACTACTTTTATAACAAATAAATTTCATTTCATTTCATTTCATTTCATTTCATTTCATTTCATAAAGAAAAAAAAAATTTAATACAAGCTTTTATTATTTGTTAATAAAACAAACAAAAAAGTTAAAAAGTCAAGACGAATTAAACGAGCCAAAACTCGATGGACTTGCATCGTTTAATTACGAATCTCCTATGGCCACTTTCCAGCTCGATCATCAGATAAGCTCTATGTCATAATTATTATTATGCATTGTCATCCGATTTATGCGTGCATGCAAAATTTCAGCACAATCGGAAATCGGAAAGTGGATCACATTGAACTTGTAAGATTTGATTACAGACAGACAACGGGACAGGTGAAACTAAATAAAAGTATATTAAATAAAAAGTAGTCTGAAAAGCAAGTAATCTCAAGCTTTTTAAAGAGATTTCACGCCGGCTGGTGGAAACCTCTGGCGACCAGAAGGCCGGCCTATACTTTGGTCAACGCATTTCCATTGCTATTCAGCGTGGAAATGCAGCAAGTCTCCTAGGTACCCTACCAGCTGGCAGTGATCTTAAGGATTTTTTTTTTATCTTTAACTATTTAAATTTTATTCCATTATATGGTAAATTATATACATACAGATATTCATAATAATTAAAAATTAAATAAAAGTAATTAATTTTTTTTTGTGGCAATAAACAGGAATTTTAATATTCAGAACGAAGCTATTGAAAATATTTTGATAATATTATTCTCTATTCTTTCTCTCTCTCTGTCCCTCTCCCTCTCTTTCTATATATAAATATGTGTATGTATACCTATATACAATCGCACCTACTTCACACCTATTTCTTAGGAAAATCACTTACTCTTGATAGTTTGTTTAAATCGTGTTTCTAATGAACTCAAAAACTACTTAAAATCGGCTAAGTAGTTTTTGAATTTTTCTTATTAAAAAATTTTTGTTTTTAAAAACAAAATACGTCCACATGTATTACCTACCTCTTTCACAGACAAAGGGCCTCTCCAAACTGCAGGCCAGGTCGACATAGACTGGTCTATCGTGGTACACACGCTCTAGAGCCACGCAGTCAGCGCCAGCTTCTGGCACCGGTACACGGGTTCTGTTTAACCACTGGAAACACGAGGGTTCTTTTATCAAGCGACTTCCAAAACAAAGAGCTTCTCAATTCGGATGTGTCTTTTTTTTATACAACTTAGAATGGCAAACAAGCTGACGGCCCACCTGATGGAAAGTGGTAACCGTCGCCTATAGACATGAGCAGTACCATATACATAACAGAGTATACTGTTTCGATTATGATACCCCCCATGCGCTGCCATTCCTGAGGACTCAGGTGTTATTCCTCTGTACCCAGTAAATTCACGCCATATCCCACCCTTCAAACCTTTTTTAATATTTGTTACCTCATAACTCCGTCAGTTTTGAACCGATTTGGAAAGATCTTTTACAAATGAAAGAATTTGCTTACAGATCCCATAGAAATATAATAAAAATCGTTAACTGCCATAAGGCACATCCCCCATTGAGAACTTATGGCAGTTTCTCAATGGGAAAACTTTTTCCAGTGGTTGCCACACTTGGCAGGTGAATTGGCAATCGCAGTTAGGCTTATGGTGATATTTTATGAAGAACGCTGCTGCCCATTTCTTGGCCATTAACTTCCCTTAGTCACCATTTACGACACCAACGGGAAAGGAATTGTTCTGTACATACCATAGGGTTGCCCGTGTGGTCCCGGCATGGAATGGGCCACCACTACCTTTCCCGTTGGTGTCGTAAATGGCGACTAAGGGACGGCGAGGGATGGGCAGCAGCGTCCCTCTTAAAACATCTCTAAAGCCTGACTGCGGTTGCCAATCCGCCTGCCAAGCGTGGCAATTACTGGCAAAACCTCCCCAAGGGGGAGGCTTATGTTCAGCAGTGGACAGTTAAAGCCTGAAATGATGATGATGATGATGATACCATAGGGTAATGTCTTCCAATATCTCTATCCTGCTCGCCCAGTAGAACATCAGCCGCAGTCCGTCTCAACTCCATGCCGGGCCCCCACCTGTATCCAGCTGGATCGTCCGCCGAGTTCCTCCGTGCGCCAACCCATACGGACTCTAGCACTGAAATTGGACTCTAGAGTTAATGCCGGAGTAAGGTATAAGTACAACAATATGAGGTCTGTTGCCAACAGTAACCGTCGCCTATAGACATGAACAGTACCATGGACATTTCGTCCATGATACCCCTCATGCGTTGCCATTGCTGAGGACTCGGGTGTTATTCCTCTGTACTCAGTAAATTCACGCCATATGCCACCCTTCAAACCGAAACACAGCCATGCAAACACAACTGCTACACGGTAGAAACACGAATGGGACAGAGGTACCCAAGCAAACGACTATAAAAATTTGTTCAGAATTGATCCCGTAATCACATACAACTGTAACGCCATGATCAGACACAATTTTAATTATACCTCTTTTTATTATTTATATTATTATAATTATTTGTAGTATTTTTTTTTTAATTTTTATTTATTTTATATTCTTTATTTATATATAAATATTTTGTGTGTAGTTTCGGCATTATAATTCTTAACATTTTTTTTATCCCTGGCTAAGTCACATTTTTTAATTTTAACCCCTGGCTAAGTCACATTTTTTAATTTTAACCCCTGGCTAAGTCACATTTTTTAATTTTAACCCCTGGCTAAGTCACATTTTTTAATTTTAACCCCTGGCTAAGTCACATTTTTTAATTTTAACCCCTGGCTGTCACATTTTTTTATTACACGATACAGACTTGCATGCCTAATGTGCAATTTGTAAAGTTAAATATCTATGTAAAAGTGTTTTTGGCAAATAAATATTAATTTCATTTCATTTCATCCTAAGGTTGCCTGGAAGAGATGACTATTTGGCAATAACGACGCCCATTGTTACCTCATTATCTTGCTTTTATGTAATTATTTTATGTATTTAATTATACATTTTGTTTGTGTACGTACATTTGTTAATCTTCGAAAGGAAGAAAGAAATATTTTTAATCAAGTAAACTTAGTGTTGGCGACAGACCTCCTTTCATACGAGTTTACCTTTTTTAGATTTATATTTTTATATTATGAATATGTCTTTTTGATACTTAATTTGTTTTTCTACTTGATTGACATATTGTATGTAGTGTGTACGTCTTAAGAAAATATATTGGTAAGCCTCTCTTAATATTATTTTCGTTTTTTTAAGCTTCGCACTTGTGGACATTTTTAAAACATTTTAAAAAGTGGTTATTGTGACATAACGATAATAGTTGGACATATAGTGTCGCGAAGATTTTTGTAGTTATCGATATTTTCTTCAATATTGTAGAACATACTTTTGTTCTATCACCAATAGTTTCCGCAGCGCACGCAACGAAAGATATTTTAAAGCATTTTTTTTACACCTTGAGTTACGTTACTACAGTTTTAAGGATCCCTAATCTATTCTAGCAATAAATATAGCCTATGTTAATCAGAGTGAATGTAGCTTTCTAATGGTGAAAGAATTTTTGAAATCGGCAAAGTAGTTTTTGAGTTTATTCATTACAAACATACATACACACAAAAATAGAAATCTTTCAGAAATCTCTGTAATATTAGTGTAGATGTAGGTGTCGATTTTGCGAGACTCTAGAGACTTTCTTATGGACCGCCTAGGTTTCGCGGAACCCACTTTAGGAATCGCTGTTTTTGGGGAACTCAACAACCCGGCTCACTACGCCACCACCTGTCTGGACATTTTTAGTGACCACGACTTACTTAAGGCCCCCAACCTCGTATTATAATCTGGATCATTCTTTGCAAGGCTCAATAAAGAATTTTCATTCATTCATTCAACTGACGAACTAAGAAACTCTTTTGAAAGCTTTTTTAAAATAAGCTAAAATAATACTCACAGAATTGTGATTCCGATAATGCCTCCGCTATGAAGTCCGCTTTCTCTTTCGTGTCCAAAACAGCCAGGGATCCGTTGTGATGACCACTGCAAAATTGTCTCAAACGTCGTCTCTCTATCCTTTACCGAATTATTATTCGGGGTCGGCGTAATATGTTTTTATCCATATTATAAAAGGATTTGGCTTATAGTTTTACGACCGGCCGCCTGCCTGACGTCAACCCTCTTTGAGAATACATTTGTTGGTGGTTTCCGCCACCGACAGTTTGGAGGAAAGGATTGAGGAAGAAAGGAAGGGAACGTTGGAAATGCGTAAAGGAAATTAGTAAATGAGAGAAATAAGGGACTTATGTGGGACAGGAAAGGGGGGGACACTGCAGTTGCGGAAAGGACTGGGACACTGCAGCGTTTCGGGAAGCCGGGGTCGCATACCCGTATGCCCTTATTCTAGAATCGGACAGATTTCTAACTAGCAAAATTGTCTTAAATAATTATCAAATTTAAATGAATAAATATCACTGTAACTATTCACAATTACATATAATAACTTAATAAAATGATAATGAATTAATTTCCATGCCTTTTTTTATGCAACTCAGAATGGCAAACAAGCTAACGGCCCACCTGATGGAAAGTGGTAACCGTCGCCTATAGAATTGAGCAGTACCATAGACATAACAGAGTATACTGTTTCGCCCATGATACACCCCATGCGTTGCCATTCCTGAGGACTCGGGTGTTATTCCTCTGTACCCTGTAAATTTACTGCCGTATCCCACCCTTCAAACCGAAACACAACCATGCAAACACATCTGCTTCACGGTAGAAACACGAATAGGACAGAGGTGGCCAAGCAAACCACATTTGTATAAAGTCTCCCTCTGGTGTCCTAACTAACTATCCATTACATTCTGAATACATACCGACATAGTATTTTAGCGTTCTCCCAATTGACAGGGAAATTCTGTATTATATACTCTTTCGTATTAAATACATAAGACTCCCATTTGTCTGTAGATGTTTGAGGCACTGGAAAGAAAGAAAGAGATGTAAGAATCTTGGCTCAGATGTAAGAAGCTCAATCCTTGGCTTCGTTTAAAGGACAAGTTAAATCACATTTTCTTTCACTGTAGTTACTCTTTTCCATTCCTTTGTAATTTTTGGACTAGATTTGTCATATTTCCTTGTGTGTGCTATGTATGTATTTATATGTGTATGTTTATGTATTTTGTATGTATGTTATATATATATTGTTAAGTAAGTAGTTTAATAAATTATATGTATTTGATATTTTTGTGCATTTTTTGTATTTTATGCTTCCTGATGCCATTAAGAGACTACCGACTAAACCGTCTTTCAAAAAAAGCGTTAACGCACACTTTTTATTTTTATCCGAGCAGTAAGTACTTTATATTATTCTCAATTTCGTGTATAATATAGTATATGTCATATATGTGTAAGTATATTTGTTATTTATATATATTTATTCGTTTATATATGTAATTTTAGTACGTATGTATATTAATAATTAGTAGTACCGCATTCGAGTATTCTGACACTTCCCTATGGTTGACTGGGAGAGAATGCTTTTAGCATTAAGTCCGCCATGTACACATATTTGTACTAATGAATAAATAAATAAATAAATAAATAAAAATTATTAATTCACTCTGCGCCACCTGCCCACTTCTATCTGTTATTATTCTATCTGTTGTATCCTTTAACCAAAGACTGTCTGTAAGAGATCGCCCTAGCGATAACACCGTCTCTTGTACCTTTATTATGTATGTATGAGTAAATTAGTGAAATAAATAAAAAAAATACCTCTGTATTGTTCATGGTAACTGGCCGAACTGAACGCGAATAAAATAAAAAACATTAACACTTCAAATTTAGAACACTGCATTCTGAACGTGCGTTCGCGTACGAAGTTTGTTTTAAAATGAAGTTTTAAAGAAGAAAAAAAAAACAAAATGGCTCTCCCTTTTTGTTATGAAAAATAAATGTACACAATTCAAATAAATCTTGGGTATTTTATAAACATTACTACAACGCCATTGTGTGGAGGTTATTTATAGACTTGCTGGTTAGTTGGTTTTTTTCATTTAACAGTTTCCTCTTGTCGGTGCAACTAATTCATGCATCTTCCTCCAGCCAGCTCTATCCCAGGCCATATCCTTTATCTCCCTATACGACATGACGCCTAGTGTTTCCTTTATCTGTCCCATGTAGTTAATCCTCGGTCTTCCCCTTCCTCTTTTGCCCTCTATCTTTCCTTCTATTGTGCTCTTAAAAGAATCGTCATGTCGTATAAGGTGGCCCAGCATTTTGCCTCTTCTATTCTCTATTATTTTAATTAATGCTCTTTTCTCGTTCACTCTTTTTAGGACTTCCTCATTACTTTTTCTGTCCAGCTTATCCTTTCCATTCTCCTCCATGTCCACATTTCGTGTTTCGGTTAGTAGTTACCATCATTTGATCTGCGTGGATTTAATAACTACATATTAAACTTAAATTATATAGATAGAGTATCTCCATACAAATGGTTCGAGAAAAGCGGCTCTACTTTTTCATACAATTTCGCGTGATAAATAGTTACGAGTGATTCCTTTACAACTTCTATATTTATTTTGTCTTATAATTTTTGCGTCTTTTTAATGCGTGAACACTCATTTTATTTATTAAATATAGACACGTCAAGATACATTGTGTGCGTAAGTATATAGAACACTGATAAAAAAAAACGAGGGCGACCTCGTTTTTTTTTTTATTTTTTATCCCTAACCAGAAGGAGACTTTGTACAAAAGTCGATTGCTTGGGTACCTCTGTCCCATTCGTGTTTCAACCGTAAAGCAGTTGTGTTTGCATGGCTGTGTTTCGGTTTCAAAGGCGGGATATGGCAGTGAATTTACAAGGCACATCATGATGAATTCATCATGAACTAACCATGATAGTTTCCAAGGGGAACCGCGAGAAGGTCGACCTGGTTGGGTATATTGCTAGCAATGGGATACTCAGTCTCCATTACTAACAATCCCTTTCCCCCCAAGACAAAATCCCTCGACCGTTAAGTTCCCTTAGTCGCCTCTTACGACTACCACGGGAGGGTAGACAGGCCTATTCTATGCCGGGACCACAGGGCAACGCGACCAAAACTATTTATTAGTATTTATTAAATTTGACACGGATAAAAGTTGACAGTAATCCTTCAGGCGGGCCGTAAGCCTGTTTGGTTTGTTACTGGTGTATATAAAATCATTTGTTTTTATTAAATAAATAACATTATTCATTCAGCAGTTAATAAAAATAGCTTGCGTTCATAAAAAGCGATTTATTTCAATGTAGCCTGTCCGTTGCAGGAGAGCGGATAATGAAAGTGAAATATGATATTACTGGGAACGGGCGACGCAGTATATACTGTGACGTCCGAGGTACTCTGTTCATGTCTAGCGTATAGGCGACGGTCACCACTTTCCATCAGGTAGGCTTGTTTGCCATTTTTTTTTTAAATATCAGCCGTTAACTGCCCACTGCTGAAGAAGGCCTGTCCCATAAGAAGGGTTTTGCCAGTAGTTGCCATGCTTGGCAGGCGGATTGGCAACCGCAGTTAGGCTTTTGTGATGTTTTAAGAGGGACGCTGTTGCTCAACTCTGGACCATTAAGTTCTCTTTGTCGCCGCTTATGATATCCACAGGAAGGGAAAGGGATTTTTTTTGATGGGTGAAAATGGTATGGTAACCCCGCCTGCGCTAACGGGATACGCTGGCGGAGCACCAGTGATAGGTGATAGATGAGAATGAAAACAGGCCAGTTAGCCCATCATGATGAATTCATCAGGAATTAACCATGATAGTTTGCAGGGAGAAACGCGAGGAGGTCGACCTGATTGGGTATATTGCTAGCAATAGGATTCTCAGTCTCCATTACTAACAATCCCTTTCCCCCCGAAGGGAAAGGGTGGTCCTTTCTATGCTGGGACCACACGGCATATTTGCCATTGGACTGTATAAAAAAATATAGATATACTAGGTGATAAAACGTTTTAAATGTTTTTTTTATACCACTGAGATGGCAAACAAGCTGACGGCCCACCTGATGGTAAGTGGTAAGTGGTGGGGAGACTTTGTACAAAAGTCGATTGCTTGGGTACCTCTGTCCCATTCGTGTTTCAACCGTGAAGCAGCTGTGTTTGCGTTTTGAAGTGTGTTTCGGTTTGAAGGGTGGGATATGGCGTGAATTTACTGGGTACAGAGGAACAACACCTGAGTCCTCAGGAATGGTAACGCATAGGGGGTATCATGGGCGAAACAGTATACTCTGTTGTGTCCACGGTACTGCTCATGTCTATAGGCGACAGTTACCACTTTCCATCAGGTGGGCCGTCAGCTTGTTTGCCATTCTAAGTTGCATAAAAAAAAGTGGTTACCGTAACCTGTGAACGCCTGCAATACTAGGAACATTACGCGCGCGTTGCCGACCCTGAAGAAACCACTTTACCCTTTTTTTGAAACCCCCATGCTGTAGTCTCTTGGGAAAACCTCGACAGGGAGCGGAGCACCAGTGAGGGAGATATGTGAGGATGAAGCAGGTCGGTTGGCCCATTGCAACGAACTCACCAGGAATTAACCACGATAGTATCCAGGTAGGACCGCGTGGAGGTCGACCTAACATAGTATACTGGTAGCTTTGAATTTGTCGGACTTCATACTATGAATCACTTCCCCCTGGAATATAGTGTTATGTTTCCGCACCCTATAACTGCAGGTGGCCTCCGTTCCTTGTGACAGTCTATGGGGGGTTATGTTGACAGAAAATGGGACAGAGGTATCTACGCATACCACTTTTATACAATACATCCTTTGGCGAACACATAAAGCATTGTACAAAACATACCTGTGTATCTTAGTGTATCCATTAATTAAAAAAAAAACTTTCCCGCCAACGTGTATAAACTAACCTATTCTAATAGGCTTCATAGTTCGCGAGATCGTGTAATAACTTCACAAACTTAGTTTTCTTATAATTTAAACCTTATCCACGCGGCGTAATGTTATAATTCCAATAACGCAGTTCATTACTCTCTCGGTCTTAGTTTATATTATCACGGAGTTAAGACTTAATTACAAAAATCTAGATGCGAAGAGCGGGGTGCGACCCGATGCGTTCGAATTATGAATACGCTGCGACAGGGAATGCGTTGAGTAGAGTTTGTACTAAAATAAATTTATTCTATAGCAGTTTATCCAATTATTTTTAAAAACGTCTAACCTCCCATATACTCATTTTAACTATTAAACTGTTTTGTCTCTTTCTTTGGTGCTGAATTTCTAATTTGAAAGAAAGCGATAAAGCAGTGTAAGGAATAATAATAACAATATAAATATTTTTTTTTAATAAGGTTCCTAGGACTCACGCAATTTTTATATAAATTATTATTATTATTATATTACAATACAAAAGAAAACCGACAACTGATGGAGAAGAAAGGTTCTTGAGTGGTGACCGCGTACAGGCAAAAGCAGTGTAGGACGACCCCCCACTATATAGAATGACATATATAATGAATATATATATATATATATATATATATATATATATATATATATATATATATATATATATATATATATATATATATATATATATATATATATATATATATATATATATATAACATATATAATGACAAATATAATATGAATAGAATGAATGCATTGCAGGGAGTCAATGTACACAAGTTGTTCAGTTCCGTTCCTTATGGCCATCTATAGGGGAGGCTTATGTCCAGCAGTGGACGGATAATGGCTGAAATGATGATAATATAAAAAAGAAAATACAAACAGCAACAACAATATAACCAATTTTTGAAATAGCTTAAAAAGACAGTAGTTACAAGAATCGGTTAACATTCGAAATCGTCAGGAATTGACGAGGAAAATTCTAAAATAATAAAGCCACACAGCTCTAGTGACGGCTGTGTCCGCGCCGCCCACCTGTAGCCCACAGATGGCAGCCCGCGGGCGCGAGTCATAAAAGCGCGCGCGTGTATATGCGTCGCTCACTACACTAGTACGGCACGCGTCGGCAACTACACTACGGGACGCCACCGCACTACGTAACAGGTGAGGGCTGCGATACACTAATTTATTTATTATATTTAATTATATAATAATATTAAAGTAATATTTTTTTATTTTAAGAAAAAAAATGACCATAATTTGGAATTATATTCCGCAAACAAACGAAACTGATTTAAAATAACCAGTAATTTACATTAAAGTTATTTTAGTAAAATTTAAACGGGAGTAATCTGTAAGTATATCCTTTCTCCTCTTATGGGGAAGGCTTATGTCCAACAGTGGACAGTTAACGGCTAACACAATAATAATATCCTTTTACACAAAAAAAAAAAACACTTTTCCAAATCGGTTTACAACTGACGGAGTTATGAGGTAATAAACATAAAAAAAATACCAGCGAATCGAGAAGCGCCTCCTTTTTCTAAGTTGGTTGAAAATAATGTTTAACAAGTGAGGATTATAAAGAATTACTTCATATATTTCTAAATATTTTATAGGTATAAAAATATGACAAATTAAATAAAGTGCTAAATAAGTAGGACTTATCATAAATTATTATATTATGTGTAATTTATATTATATATTTGTATATTTATGTAATATTTGTTTAATGTATTCATGTATATATATTTATATGATCATATTTTATTTATTTATTCATAAGCACATATATGTGTACATGGCGGACTTAATGTTAAAAGCGTTCTCTCCCAGTCAACCATAGGGAAGTGTCAAAATACTCGAATGCGGTACTAGTAATTATTGATATACATACATACTAAAATTACATATATAAACGAATATATATAAATAACAAATATACTTGCATATGTCGTCACCTCCATGGCAAATTTACGTTTCTGCAGTTTTTTCATATTTGACATTTCTTTAAAAACCAACATTTTGCGTCATTCTACTTATTGTGGCTTATTTTCAAATTTCTATCTCTAATAGTTAAAAAAATCGAGAAGCTCGAATCTCCATATTTTTGTGATGTACCCAAAGTAAAGTTACTTAGCATATTTTTATAGAATTTTCTATAAACACTTTAATTTGAAAATTTCAATAATTATTATATCAATTTTTCAATCCTAATTTAGTTATTTTACATAAATGATTGCTATAACGTTGTTATTTAAACTGAAGTTTTTTCCAAAACACGTGATTTATACCTTGGTATATTTACGAAAGTGGCATTTTCGTTAGTTTGCCAAATATTAAAATAAATTATTTTCTTCGGCAACTTACGAAACTGCCACTTTCGTAGATTTGCTGCTGTATAACTCAATACCTGGGAACTCTCATGTATGAAGGTGCAAAGTAACGAATATGCATTTATTTCTGATACTTGTAATATAATAATAATAAATTAAGCGCATTCAATAAAAAACAGGGTTTTAAAACTAAAATGTTAGCATGATCGTTTACAGTAGTCTTCTGTCAATAGTTATTTGCATTCTAATGTTTCGAAACGTTCCACTGTAAAATGTATCTTTTTCAGTTTCGTAAGTTTACCATAAAGCTGACGATATGTGACATATACTATATTATACACGAAATTGAGAATAATATAAAGTAATAATTGTGCAGTAGTCCTCCATTGTATGTATTATATAATTTGTAAGTCAATATGGACACGTCTGTTACTGTTTAGTAACAAAAATTCTTAACTTTTTTCACCGCATAAATTCATTTCTGTTTTCCAAAAGGTTGATTGGGACAGAATGCTATATATAGTTCAATGAGAAAATTTAATTGTATTTGTACCTATTTGTTTCAATGTAATAATGTTTTATTTATTTTATGTTAATCGACGATACGTATGTATATATAATATAAAAATTTAGTTATGTACTTTATGTAATATTTATTAACGTGATCGCTGCGCCCTTCCAGGGTTCATGTCGATTCTTTACCTTTAATAACTTAAGACCTATATTGTTACAACATGAAATAGCGATAAATAATTGAATTAAAAAGTCCGCCTTTTGTACCAGACATTTTTTTCCATAATGTGGTCAACATAGAATAAATAAATTAATAAATAATAGAAAATAATCAATAAAAAATAGTATTTTAAACATGAGGGCTTTAATGAACCATTTTGTATAACAGTATAAGAGAGATTTAAAAGAGTAACTGTTGAATTTCTCGCGGGCTCTTCTCAACAGATGACGACCTTCCGAAGCCTGCAGTAGATTAAAAAAAAAATGACGATTTAGAAGTGCTTGTAATCTGTTTAGTAAGTCTATTTGAATAAAAATGATTTAACCAGAGGGAGGCCTTTGTACAAAAATCGTTTACTTGGCGTGAATTTACTGGGTACAGAGAAATAACACCTGAGTCCTCAGGAATGGCAACGCATGGGGGGTATCATGGGTGAAACAGTATACTCTGTTATGTCCATGGTACTGCTCATGTCTATAGGCGACGGTTGCCGCTTTCCATCAGGTGGGCCGTCAGCTTGTTTGCCATTCTAAGTTTAATAAAAAAATTCAATTTTGTATCTTATATCTAACTAGCTTTTTGTCCGTGACTTCGTACCCGTAAACATTGGAAATATAAAAAGTGAATAAATTTTGCCACTTCTAGATGGAGTATTAAGATCAAACTTTTTAAATTATACCTTCTGGTCTTCTTCAATTGTTTTCACAATTGAAGAACTACACTACATAGTACATAGTACTACACTACATAGTACATAGTACTACACTACACTACTACTACATAGTAATTTAGACATGGCGCCTAAACAAATATACAGACAGACAAAATTTGGAAAAAATATTTTAACTTCTGTTGGTCTCAGTAAAACCATTTATTTAATTTTTTATTTAAATATTTCTCTTGTACAGACATTAATAACAATTTAATTATTGCCTCTTAATAAAATAAACAATACTACAATACTACATAGTCGTGTACTGAACTATGTCGTTTCATGTGTGATTTCAAGAAGTATGTAATTGGTAGATCGCACAGGGTCTCGTCAGTGAGCAGTAGATCTTGGGTCTAGTCGAGTCGACCGCCCCTGGTCTAGAGGAACCCAATATATAGATATCGGATCGGTATCCGTATTACGAATGCCTAATAGTTACCACTTTCCATCAGGCGGGCCTATCAGTCATATTCATAGGCAGTCTATCTATTAAAAATATCTAAACGTATCTCACGACTTCCCGGAATGAATTATGAATTAATATTGACTCTACAAGTATATTTATATATGATATGTAACTTTATTAAGTTTTTTTCCATTTCGTACGAAATTAATTATTAATACGACCGTTATGAGATGTGTATACAGCCATACGCGACTCTTTTGTATGCAAATACTAGCTACCCGCCCTGGTGTCTAATAAAATAAAAAATAACTAAAGGTTTTTTCCATAGAAAAAAACACTTATCACATTTTGCTTCTCAAATTTACACCTATCACATTTTGCTTCTCAAATAAACACCTATCACGTTTTGCTCCTCAAATAAACACCTATCACATTTTGTTTTTCAATCAAACACTTATCACATTTTGTTCCTCAAATGAACACCTATCACATTTTGTTCCTCAAATAAATACCTATCACATTTTGCTCCTCAAATAAACACCTAACACATTTTGCTTTTCAAATGTACACCTATCACATGTTGCTTCTCAAATGTACATCTATCACATTTTGTTCCTCAAACAAACATCTATCACGTTTTGTTCCTCAAATAAATACCTATCACATTTTGCTCCTGAAATAAACCTTATTAATGGAATTATGTTTTACAAAAAAAAAATGCCGACTTCAATTGTGGCAAAACCAGTTACTTTAATTTAATTATGAAATTGCTGAACTAACTTTGATAAAATGTCTACGAGACCAATCTGTAAGTATACTTACCGTATATTTACGTATTTACCAGGAGGAGACTTTTTGCAAAAGTCATTTGCTTTGCCACCTCTGTCCCATTCGTGTTTCTACCGTGAAGCAGTTGTGTTTGCATGGCTGTGTTTCGGTTTGAAGGGTGGGATATTGCGTGAGTTTACAGGGTACAGAGGAATAACACCTGAGTCTTCAGGAATGGCAACGCATGGGGGGTATCATAGGCGAAACAGTATACTCTGTTATGCCCATAGTACTGCTTATGTATATAGGCGACAGTTACCACTTTCCATCAGGTGGTCAGCTAGTTTGCCATTCTAAGTTGCATAAAAAATACTTACAGACAAAAAAAATTTCAAATCGGTTTACAACTGACGGAGTTATGAGGTAACAAACATAAAAAATACAACTGAACTTTGAACGTTCTCGTTTTTTGAAGTCGGTTGACAACCAATCAAATAGATCAATTTTACATTAATTTTATCATGTACTTTTATAAAACATACACTAAATTTCAAATTCGAATTACAGAAGCACAACTGTGATAGTCGCACCTGTGTATTTGGTGTACATAATGGCAAATACATGATAGTGTGTGTAATGTTTTTTTTTTTATTGATTTAATATATTTTTCTCAAACATGCTTGGAAATGTGAGCATTATTTTGACAATCTTCTTCGAGATAAATCAAAATTGCCGTACTGGCCAGATACATGCGGGCAGCGGCCGGCAAAAGTTGTATGAAAATCCATATCTGTCGTGTTTTGCGGCCAGATAAAGTACTATGTAAACTCATATCTGTCCTGTAATTTAAAAATGGAATGACCTTTTACTTCGAAACATGGCTACCAAGGAGGCAACTAATAAAAGGTTTTATTTAAATTTTGAACTGGCTTGCAAATAGAAAGCTATTTATTGAAAAAAAAAAAACAAAGAAACATTATGGCGCGGGAAAAATTATTGATGTTCATTATTCGTCATTGAACTTAAAAAGTAAAATTGTGTTTTTGATTTCCGAGCATTGTTTGAGAAAAGTACTATACAAGCCTTGGCCACAACTAGGCATTGATGGACTCACGCATGTGTGCCTCGGCGCACATTTGTACGTTCGTCCATCAATGCCTCAGTTGCTGGCCGCTGCAGTAATGTACTATTTTATGCATAACTTTAAAA